GTACGACCCGCTTGTTACACCATACAGTTGTCCGGTGGCTCAGTCACCACCTCAGTGCTGCTGGTATCAAAACGCGTATTCTCACTTGCTAGTTTTGCAAATGCAGATAGTTGCCTCCTGCTGGATTCCTGTCCGAAGTTGCTTGCGGCCGTAGACCCCTGAGGCCAACCCTTAACCCTTGAGAACCCCAAACCCCAAAATCCTATGCGCACAGGGTGCCTTAGAGGACCTCCCCCCCTCTCGGAGGATCGAGGAGCTTGAAGAGACTGCAGCAGCTTCTTGCCTTGCTGGGCTCAGGGTGTGAATCGGGGAATAGATTTCACTGGGCCCCTTGGAAGGCTAAAACCCTAAACCCTAAACCCTGCTTTTTTCTGTATTTATTCTGTGGAGTGTGCCCTGTGCGAGTGTGAGAGCCGAAACCCTAAACCCTGCAATTGTTGGGCTGCTTTTCCAGGAGGGCAAGAAGGGGCTCCAGATTTTTTGGGGGTCGGCTTTCGGTCCTCCGGACCCTGAAGCAAGCTCCCCCCCCCCGTGCGCTGAACGTGTGCGAGGCTGCACACGGCTTTTTTTTGCCCCGGTTGCTTCAACCCCACTCAAGCCCAAGCCGGCCCCAGGCACTTGTAGACCTGGCCATCCGCAGCGTCCGCCTTGGCGCAAATTCGTCGGCGCCACCGTGGCGCCTCTGGGTTCTGGGCTTCTGGCTTGGTGTTGTGTGGGGCGGTTTCTTTGGAGCAGGGGGTTTGGGCCTTGTGGGTTCGGTCTTCCTCGCACCTAGTCGCCTGCCTCTGAAAAGGAGCTGCAGTGGAGTGCCCGCGAACAACGCAGACGACACCACAGCGCTGGTGGTCCCCGGCCAAGTCTCCACATGCCTCACGAACATGCTTGCATGATCTTGCATGCAGACGCTGAGGAAGAGCTTCATTGGCATGTAAGCCCAAGCCATAGTCTGAATCTGTGACCCCAGCGCAACCTCAGAGGAACTTGAGGAAGGCCCCCCCCCTGCAGTACTGATGTCATGACTCATGCCCCGGGTTCTGAGATTCTCGACTATAACTTATAGGGCTCGATTAGAATGTGCTGTGAAGGGGATTGTTGCTGTTTGCGGGCCTAACCAAAGAAGAACTGAGACTGAGCAAAGCCAGATCACCTGGCGCCACGCAAGGCTGTAGTGCAGCCACAGGACGTGACCACCATCGACGTGGCCTAGCCTTGACTTAGCAAACGGGGGTTTTTGAAAGTGAAACTTCTGAGGCCTGGATTCGGCCTGGATTGTCTTGTCGGCTTAGAGTTGAAGAACGCCTTGGCACATGTCGGGGTTTGGGCTCCAGGCGTGCTCACTGGCACCCTGCAATGCTACACAACGAGCTAGTACAAGCGACTGCAAAGATAATCATCTCCAGATATCGGAGTCGTCCAGCATGGAACTCTCTCAGCCGTGACATGTCGGTGGTTTACGAAGATACGGGATTTCTGTTCAAGTCGTTTTTAATAGGGACCCCAATAAGGTGCACCTAATCTCGGAAACCCCCTTGCCGAGGTGGCAGGTGAGCTGCACATTAAGCGTGCGGAGGCCGCCCGTGCGAGCCGCAAGCGCAACAGGCCCCGGCTGGATAGGGTTTGGGATGTTCCCCCTTAAAACTAACAGTCCTTATTCGGGATTATAATAGGGAGGTACCATAAGGTCAGAAAAGGATTGTAAGTAGAAGGGGGAAAAAGAGGGACTGTAGTAGGTTGTACCATAATGCTTGTAGTATAAGGGGGAACATCCCAAAGGTTTGGGTCGGAAGCACGAAGGCCTTAGACCTCGAATATCTGCTGCTCCCAGGCGTGGACTCATGAATGCTTGTGGCGTCGCCTTGGGTCGCATGGGCTCAGATCCTGGGCGTTAAAGGCTTCCCAGCTCGGAGCCTCTAGAAGATTTTTGAGACACTGATACAGAAGAGTGCATGTGAACCAAATGAACTCACAAGGAAAATTCTTGAGGTGCGCGTAGGCCCACCGGCTCAACCGGTTGCCCGAAAGAGGTAGTTTTTGATGTTTCTGATGTTTTTGATGTTAGTAGTTTGGTAAGAAGCCCCAAACCCCCAGAGATCCTACAAGGATGCCCCGGCCCGGCACACTGGGAGTCGACAGCGCTCGCCCCCCGTCATGCATGCCCCTTTTGGGCCTCCTTAGGGTTTAGGGCCTTTAGGGTTTGCCATGTCATCTCAGGTCCCCAAACCCCTTTGAGCCCTCTTGCTTTGCGCGGGCTTCAGATGTACTGAGTTGCTCGGTCGAGTCTGTCTAGACTGGTACCTTGCTTGCGGTGTCTTCTGTGTTTCCAGGTTAATGGTCAGTTGGATTTTGGGAATGCGCGAACATGTGGCTAGACTTCGATGTACTTCGTTCAGAGGTTGGCTTCGTTCCATTTCTACAACTGGTGGCCCAAAACCTTCAGCCTCTCGTAACTTACATCTGAAAAACTGTAATGTCCCTAGACACAACCTTGACTCAAGTCGACGCTTCCTGCAGCTAGCCGGGTATGCTCTGTCCAGCATCACAGGAAGTGAAACACCAGACAAGAAGGGGCATCAAAAGAAAGCACAAAGCAGCCACAGTTCGGATCCTGGAATTCCATGCAGGAGAAGTCAGCCCTGACGTCAGGGCATCCGTGGCTCTCAAAGCAGGCTGCGAATCAGACACCGGCGAGAATATCAGAAGCGAGCGTGGGTCACGATCTCCGGCGATCTTGCTGATTTCGCCAGAGGATCCATGCCGCAGAATGTCGTCCGTGCTACCAGACCATCTCGGCCACCAAACCATCAATGCGCCGTTAATGCGATCTGAGCACGCCGGTTCACGTAAGCTGCCACACCATCCAAAACCACCAGGGCATCCATGCCCGCCCAATTAAGCAGTCATACCTCCCTGCTTCCGGACAGTTTCCTGATTTTCGAATCGGGCTTTTTCCTGGTCTCTGATTTAGCCGTCTCCTGTTTTCCGAATCAGCCTTTTCGTCGTTTTGATTCAGCCGTTTCCTCGCTTCCGATTCAGCCTGTCTAGTTTCCGATTCTGCAATGCGGCTTTCAACTTAAGCTTGTGTTCGGCTCTCACCCCAAGAGGCTCCCAACTTCAAGTCGAGACTACCAATCAAACGCCACGCCCTGAAGCTTGAACCAACCTTCAGGTTGAGCGCGGATGGGAGCTCTGGTGATGGCTGCGTGATCGCTTAAGGTGCAGGGTTTCGGTCTGGGGGCCAAATTTTTCAGGGGAGCCAGATCGCAGTCACCAGAAATGTGAGATGTGTGCCGAAACTTCTGGATTCGGTGTAAAACAGGCTAGCAGCACTGCCGGACTGCACAAACCTCCCTCCTCAAGTTACATGGGATTTAAGTTTTCTTCTCTCCCGCACAGCTGGCGTTAAATGTAGTATTCCAGGGCTCGAACCGCTTGCGAAGGAGTCGCCAAGTCCTGCTGCGCTGAAACTCAAGCTGCAGCGCGAGAACAACTTGAGAAGCCGCTGTGCCAAGCCCCTGAGACCTAAACCCGTCCACGCGCTTCCACCCCCCCCGAAGAGTCGAAACTTTCCTCTTTGCAACCCCCTTTCTGAGACGCACAAGTAAACTCGCATGCCTGGCGGCGAAGGAGCCGTCATCTTTTGTGATATGCCAAAAGCCTCCTGGGCTTGGAGTCGGGTCTACGGAGGCTTAGCTGCGAACCTAAAAACTACCGATCCCGACCCAACCACGAAGCACCAATCCAGATGCGCTCAGTCTATCGGATCACGGGCATCGTAGCGTTTTCGTTTTGCAAGATTTGCAAGGCCACCTCTAGGAATCGGAGTGGGAGATCTTCCCGTGCCCCAATTAAGGTGTGTTGTGTTGACAGTAAGTCTTTGCTCTCCAGTTTATTTAGAGCAGGTGTCAGAGAGGAACGTCGTGGTTGGTTTGTTGTGTGGGCTCGTGGTTGATGCACAAGCCTCTCTGAACAAAGTGTAGCTTCGACCTCAACAATGACATGCACCCTGCGAAGTGGGCTTTCGTTCAGCTAGCCGGGAGGTAACAAAAAGAAACCCAAGGGTTCGACCAAGCTTGACACGCAGCAAGGCCATGCAAGCCCCGCGGCCCAAGACCTCCAAACAACCTTTGCACGTCTTATGGCCTTTGCCAAATTCGCATGCTTTGCACGCGGAGTCTGCCCCTCCACAGGCTGAGGTGCATGACGTCAGACATCTTTGCCAAGGGCTACAGCAAGCCGCTTGAAGTTTGTGGTTAGCAGCATCTTCTCCCGGTATGTTTGGGCCTCTAGGGTGCCTAATGCAAGAAACCTCGACCGGCGGAAGGGCAGAGCTCATTTGCCAATTCGTTTGTTGAACAGCTGCCAGCACCGGACAGCCCTTCCAAAGGGCTGCGGAGATCCTCCAAAGGGTGTTGTTGCGGAGTAAAACACTTGGTGTCAAGGTATCTGACTTCAGGAGTTCTGGGATGCGTTCCGGCAGATCGGAATGAAAAGGGATCTCCATGTTTGAGTTTGCGGAAGCCTGGCCTTCTGCTTATGACCGGTCTTGCTGCACAGTGCGCGTTCTGGCGCGCCAGAGGTTTGCGATCTCGGCGTGAAAACATGCGTGCGCAATCAATGTGGGGCAAACCCTCTACTCAAGTATACTCTAGGCACTCTAAAACCCCAAGTGGCTGGGCCCTGTCAGCCACAACCATACGGGAACTGAAATGCTTTCAATGCGTTCGTGAGCTGTGGAAGTTTCGGGAGACGCCCTCACAATGAACGAGTGCCACTCCCAACCCAACCCCAGTGCATAAACACCCGAGTCCTCGACTCTGCCCCTCATGCGCTTCCAAGCCATTGACATGCCCCAGATGAAGTGCCTCAATGTGCAGGCCAGAATCGGCCAGAATCTCCCCGGAATGTTTTTGATCCATGAGGTCATAAAGCCTAGGAGGCCCTATACGTTTCAAAAGCACAATCCCCGCAGACTTAAGACTTCGGACCCTGCTTTCCATGCCATGGCGGCTGACAGCGCGGATCCGCCGATAGGTGCGCCGAAGCAAGTCCTCAACTCCCCCAAGCCACAACGCCCGCAAAAAAAAACGGCAACACGTGGAACGTGTGGGAGTCTTTTGCAGCTCAAGCTTGTAAAGCCCGAAGCCGAGCGTAGCACTGACAGGAGGACCTCCTGCTTTTGAACTCGAAGCGTGTCAGGTGCAGTTCGGGCAACTCTGCAGCTGACGCGGCTCTTCTGGTGGGACAGCGCCACGGCCTGGGTTCAAGGATTTCCTGATTTACGTATTTTGGGGCTTCCCCTAAACCCCTAACCCCTGCGAGCACTCATACTGACCACAACCGGGTGAGGCACAAGGGCATAAGGGCATAAGGTATAGTACGTGTTTGTTTGAGCCTTTGTTGGGGGTGCTGCGGCTACGGCTGATCATATCCTCTTGGCTCACATAAGCCACCCATTGAGCCCATTGAAGTGTAACCCGGTGCAGTCAGGGCAGGTCACAACTGCTTGAGCCCCAAGACGGCGAGGTGACGGAGCCAGCAGGCTGCGTGCTTTCAGCCGCCTTGCTGCCGCTGCTCGGCTGAGCCTAGTTCCAGCCGCCCGAATAGTCCGAAAGACTGTAGACCGGGCCCAGATCGTGGCTGTCCTCCTCTTCCGCGGCAAATCGCGAATCTGGCTCTCGCAAGCAAAACGACGAGAAACAACGCGGCTGCTGTCTGGGCGCCCTGGCTGCTCTCGGGTCAGGTTCAGACGGTTCCTTGAAACGGAGCGCCCGAAGATCCTATTAATTTACTTGAGATCTACTGGGCATGTTGAAGGCTCTTCGGGACTGCATCAGTCTGCTATAGCATTCCTAATTTTTTCTGCGGTGGAGGGTCCAATAAGGGGGAGAGGATGAGTGACTCGATGAGTGTCGTGTTTTGTGAAGCTTGCAGATTTGAGACCTCGTTCATCCGAATCCGTGCCCCCTCTGGCCAGCTCGTAGCAGAAACCTGCTGCTCAACGAAGGCAGGTGACACACACAGGAGTCGATGCCTTTGACCTCAGAAGCAGGAACAATTCTGCGGATGATTACACCAACCTGGCCCTTAACTCACAAGTGTGAGCTTCGAGCCAATTGAATCAATTGACGATCTGATGATGGGCGGCCTCTGACCTTCTTTTTGCGGCCACCACACCTTTCGAACCTCAACGAAGTGTAGTGTCTTCTGAAGTCCAGGCACGAAGAACCCGGGCCCCTGAGATGCCATTTTTGTAGAATGATAGGCTCGTAGCTTTTCGCTTACACTCCAGGTCACTGGATGCACGGTCCGTCCTCGAGTCCGTGCTGAGGCCGGCTGTCTCTTCTCAGGGTTTGGGCTTGTGGTTCTGGATTGGAGCTGTGGGACTCTCATGCTGTTGGAACATACATGGGTGCAGCTTCCCCAGGAACTTACACAAGCTTTCTATGTGGGCCATCCATGAAACACAAGTGTTGTGCTCTATGCAAATCTACGTAATTGATCGGACAACTTGCACCAGTGACTGCGTTGGCGAAAGTCACCAGTTCTGAGTTTGCTCGGAGCCTTTGTCTGGCATAGCAGCAGAGAGAAGGTCCTGAACCTTCCTTACAAAAGTCTGAGTAGAGGGTCAAAAAGTTTGAACACAGGCCAACAGCCCCCTTAAGGTCGCTCTCAACTTTTGCCAGCGCAGGTATGTGGGCTCAGTGGTGCTCCTGAGTCCAGTGAACAGGCGGAGTGATGGAGTGTGAGAGATGTCGGAGGATGTCGGAGGGTGGGGTGGCTGGATTGGAATGCAGGGGTGGCCTGAGGAAAGCTTCACTGCAGCTTTTTGTTTTGCCTCCTGATCCTGGTGCTTTTTCATCTGGGTTCCGGTGGGCTCGGCTTCTTGGCTTCTAGTCCCTATTAAGTCCTACTAGCACTCGACAAATGGTCGTTTAGCTTCTTGTTGCTTGCTTGGCTCGAGGCTCTACTACCGGCTCTTTCGCGGTCTCCGCCTGGCGTGGGAGGAGCACCTCACACGCGGCTTCCTAGGCTCTCTCGCTTTGCGGTTGATGCCTGCATTTGGTACTGATGTCCTTCTGCGTTACGAGTCGAGGCAGTGCATGGCTGGGTTTCAAACGTATGCCCAAAAGCAGTCCCGAGCCAGATCCTCAACTGCCCTAAGCCATCCCCCTCTTCGTATGTCAAGAGACACCTTGAGCCACGACAGTTGCACGGAGCCTCGGTGTCAGAGCACGGAGCCGGCAGGCTGCTTCCTTGAGGCACAGTGCTACGGCCACCGGGGAGGAGCCTTTGGGTCAGGGTGCTGGGGTTTGGGGCTTCAAGTTTGGGGCTTTGGGGTCCTTTCGGCTTGGAAGAAGGGTGGAAGATTCCGGCCGTTTTTTTGAGGCTTGTAGGCCTTTGGCGGGTGTAGAGAGAACTCTGGCTCTTCAGACCGTGCATGCACGGCTCTCTTAATGGCAAAGGTTGGCAAAGTATAAGACGATGGTGATTGAACTTTTGCACTGCAAAGAGCATGTTTGGCAAACTCAAGAAGAGGCTCGTCTTGGATCTAATAAGATTCCTCTTGTTGTTCATTGTTCTTTTGTCTGGTAGTGTTTACTTTGGCTTGCGTCTTGCTTTCGGAACGGTTCAGCGTTCAGCCAGCATGAGATTTTTTGGGCCTCTCGCTGCTGCTTGCCGTTGAGTTGTTTCAGGGCCTCTTGTGTTGAACGCCTTGTTGCTTGGCGTGTTGTTCTGGCTCAGCGCTCGTATGTTTGCATTCTTCTCAGTGGGGGCCCGCGGTGGCTGCAGCGTTTTATGACAGCAGCATATGTCGCAGCCCCTGGCATATCAGAGCTTCCTGTCCGGGATTCTATGCAGTATTTAATTTTATGCTAATTTGCGCTGCCTTGCCCTCCAGGACTTCTGTAGGTTAGGCGTAAATGGGGGTCTATGGCACTTGGGGGGCATGAAAATGGTGTTAAAGCAGCAGTAGCAGGTCCCAGGGAAAGTTTCGGGTCAGTGCAGGTTTTAGAGGCTTCGGGCTTGGAAGTACGGTTCAAGCGATTGATCTCTAGACTGCACTCTTCATTTCTTCCGGCGTGGAGAGCCTTCGTCAAGATGCCAAGTTGTTGCATGGCCCGCATTTTTTTGTTGCGGCGTTGTGTCGGCGGCAGGACTGTTGGACTTCGACGATCGTCGAAGGGATTCGCTGCCTGATCAGAGGAGCACAGTCTGGGGGCGGCAGTGCTGAGAGCGTGATCCTGTGCCGCGACGCGGGGGCTTCCGGGAAATTCCTCATGATGACCAACTGTCAATCCTCACAAGTGTCGGACCAGTGTTGGAGTATTGAGCCGAAGGATTTCGGCAGATGTCGGCAAGTTCACTTCGCTGGCGACCACGCTGGGTTTGGACAGCCTCCAGGCGATCAGGGTTGTGGGTTTGCTTCGAGTCTGGTTGTCCAGAAGGTTGGTGGTGCAAAGGCTGCCAGGGTCGCAAGGTATTTTGGCGTTTGTCAGTGGCCCAATATGCCGAAAAGAGAGTCGAACGTCGAAAGTATCTCTCCAACTCCCAACCCACAAGACCCAAAGCCCAAAATCCAACCCCCCCGTAAACTCCTATAACACCTTGCGTGATCGTGGCCCCTAGGCCGCGATCGACCTCTACTTCTACGCCACGCTCTTGAGGTCCCAAAATCTTCAGTGGAGAAGCTCCTCAGTGTTTTGTCAGTTTTCAGGGCTCTGGAAGTTGGCGCTAGGTCTGCTAAGGGTTGCTCTGTGTGCTCGCGGAGCCCTCAGCCCAAAGCCCAAAGTGACGACTTGGGAGGCAAAGCCTCAAACATACCCGACTCGGAAAACCTTTTGGGCTCCGCTCCAAAAGACCTGGCAGGACGCTGTCGCCTGCGCTGGCCCGCACGTCCCTTCTCGGAGCATTGCTGGGGCTGCCTGCATTGGATTAGGGGCCAATTCAGTTGTTTAGTTAGATTAGTCCAGGGGCCTGAGGGATGTCCTCTTCGAAACCTCGAGAAGACAGCGATGTCCTTCGTTCTGTTTCGCCTTCTGGTGATCTTCAAGCGCAGCTCCGCAGCTCCCCCCCGAACCATCGTCTTTGATTGTGGCCTGCTGAAGGCTTGGGAGAAGCATAGGATTCCAGCAAAACAGCCTCGTGTGACGAAGGACCCTGATGGTGCAGTTCCTCGGCCGTGATCTCCCGGCACTCTACTCCGCCGAGCGGGCGGCCGAGGGGAAGTTCACGTACACGCTGACGCGCATGCGGGACCTCAAGGGTGGCTTCTGCTTGGGGGGTGGGGATGGGGGTGTCGGGAGCGTGTCAGTGCATGGGCTTAGTTTCTGCTGCCCGGCACTTTGGTATTTTCCCTGTTGAACGCCGGGACTCTGGGTGAAAGAGGTTGGACTGGAGTGGCAAGACCGTCATAGCCGGCGGCCCCAGCCAGGAGAATGCTGAGTCCATCCTCTTCTATGGTGGCCAAAGACAGGACGCAGACAGAGTGCAGATTACATTCCATCTAGGTGTACCAGCTACATCACTTGTCACAATCACCTTTTTCATTAATTATCATTTTTTACGTATCATGAGTTTCAGCTTCAGGATGCTTCAGGTGTAGGTTCAACACATACCTCAGTGAGTAGCTTTATCTTCAATACATATATATATATATATATATTTTTTTTTTTTTTATCCCTATTTCCTTGCTATATTTCCATGAGCATGATCTTTCACTGGATAGAAAGAAGCATCCCTTCCAGAAGAGGAGACTGCGCGGGCAGATGAAGTCCTCAAGCTCCGCCACCGCACGGAGCCCCACCTGAACAGCCTTGGGGGACAGGATCTGGATGCGAGTTCCCTAAACCCTAAACCCTAAACCCTAAACCCTAAAACCCTCCTGTTTGCAACCATCCCCGAGCCAAGGAGTGGGATCGCTTGGCGCAGAAGGACCTGGTCCAGCTCGTAGGGGATCAATACCGCCAGGTGCAAAGTAGGGGGGGAAGGGTTTGCAGGGTTTTTCATGCTGATGGTAGGAGGTTTCAGCCAGGATGCGAAAAAAACTGTGCGGCCTTTACAAACCAATAGCCAAGGAACATACACAACTCACACTTTTTTGGGCGGTTCTTCCTTGCGAGTCTGATGTCTGTGGTCGTGAAGCAGAACCAGAAGCAATTTGTCATCCGTTTGGAAGCAACTCGCACACCTGTGGCTTGCTTGCCGAACCATCGTCATTGTCGTGTTTGATGGCTGAACGAGCAAAAAAGAATGCCTGACTTGGTTCAGGCCCAAACCATTCAGCCTGAACTCTACAGGTACCACAAGATGAGCACAGAAACATCTACAATCAGGCCTTTGGCAGCACACGTAGGACGATGCATGTGACAACGCCTTCGGCGACAAAACTCTCCGACCTTGGCGGCCCTGGAAGGTCCTTGCCCTCGGCCCGGCCCTCGTCCTCGTGCAGCATCTCGGCAGAGAGGAAGCGGCGCTGTGCATGAAATGCTCAGGGTTGCGAAGGATTCGGTTCTGCTGTTTAAGTCGATGGCTGGGAGAGCTTTCAGGTTTGCCAGTGGTGCGCGAGATGCGGCGCTGCTAACGCAGGCAAACGAGGCGTGAGCGAATGAAACCCCTGACCGGGTTCACGAAAATACTGGACCTTTAATACAGACCCCCAGATAGGAGGGTTCCCTTATCAAACGGACCGCAATAAGGTACCCCTATCTCGGAAACCCACATTTGGGCATGAATGACCTCCTGGACTTCCGAGATTCTGCTTTGAAGAAGTTTGGATGCCAATGTTGTTCTTCGAATGAAGTAAGCCTGTTGAAGAAATCTTCGGCCTTTTCTTCAAGATTGTTGGGAAAAACCTTAAGAGTAAGAGGAAAGCTTCATGACTTCAATCGCAGCAAAAGTTTTGGAGACAAATCTTCGTATTTCGGCTTAAACATGGCACAAATGAAAGTGTTAGTATACGATGTCGCCGGCTTAGTCTTGAGATATTGGTGGAGACGCCTGAGCTTAGCATGAGTTTGCCAATCTGCACTTTAAGCAATTTTTGCAAATCCCTTTTGAGGCTTCGAGAGGCCCTGTCAGCGCGCAACCCGTGTGGATGTCGTCCGAAGAAACCCCACTCTCCACATCAACCCACTCCACAAAACGCTAGAACAACGGCTGCGAGCAAAGCATGTAAAAACCAGTTCGCAGGCATCCGTCATAATTGCTTTCGTGTAGCAACCTTGGCCAACCATCTCACCACAATGGCGTCGCCTGCAGGCGTTCGATGCCGTGCTGCGTGCTCTGCAGCTTGATTGCATTTGACGGATAGGGTTTCAAGGGTCCCTCCCTCATGCGCCCGCTCAACCATTTGGGCCCTGTCCCAAAGGCTGCTCTTTGCCGACAACTGCTCGGACTTCTCACGGCTCACGGCGGTAGCTTTGGAGCCCTCTTACTGGCAAATGGGCTTCTGGCTTCAGGATGCTTCGGGAATGCATCTTCATAGTTTCAGAACTTTCGCTCGAATCCTACGGGCCGGTTGGAGCGCCGGGCTGTATGCGGTTTATAGAGTGTGTGGGAGACGTTGCTGTTCTCAGTATTTGCGGCACCTGCAGAACCCCCGAATCAATCTTCTGTTCTGTTCCAGGCTCTTCACGTACCACCGCGAACAACTGGAGGCCAAAGAGGCTGAGTCGGAGATCTCGGTGCAGCCTGCCGAGGACCTGGCAGCAGGTAGGCACTTGCGGCACTTGTGCCCCCCTACGCCTGACATGCATCGTGTGAGCCAGTTCTTCTTAAGCCTTTTTTGTGTTACCAGGCTTTGCAGTGCAGTGCTGTGAACGTCGATTCGAACGAGAAGCTCGAGCATGGTTTCGATTGAGTGTGTAGAGTTATTAGAGTTGCAACGAAAAACACCCTCGCAGGCTGTCCGCAGTTTACAACGCAACGCCCCAAGCCAGATCTTCATGGTTCATGTGAAGAGGACGCCGGGTCCTGGCTGGAAGTCGAAGGCCTGACGCCCCCAGTCCCGCAGATTGGGGCTTGAGCTGTGAGGCTCTCTGAGGCTTTCGGCTTCTTGGAGTTGTTTGGGGCGGGTTCTTGCTGTTGGTTCTTGCTGTTGTTCTCCACCTCGCTTCGCAGTAGCTCCCGAAAGCCACGCGCGGAAACCTGCGGGTTGAAAATGCTTATGTCTAATGCTGCCATTTTGGTCTGGGAGAAAGGCTACGAGGTAACCCCTGAGAGCCGTGACTGTACTTCAAAAAGACCTTCTAGGTTGTAAAGTTGTATAGTGTGCAGGCTAGCTTCTTGCGTCGTTGTTTGCTTCTTGTGTGAATGTGGAAGTCCTCGGAGCCTCGCCATAGAAACCCACGTGCACTGATTTGTCGATCGAGGTGGACATGAGAAGTGACCATGTTCAACATGCAGTCGAAATTCAAACCTAGCCTCCCAGTTCCACCACTCTGTCAAACCAGAACTCTAGGCCTGGCCTACTCCCAGAAGGTGGTCGTCATAAGTAGGGTAGAGTCGCCGTAACTGGGCGGTTTTCTGGAACTCTTTTGTAGTGGACTCCTCAGTTTTTTTTGCCTGCCAGCTAAGGCTCTGTTTCGCGGACAGGATTCTGGCCACCAGCCGTGTTTTAGTCATCTGTGGTGTTCGGGGCTTCTGCAAAGTTCACGTGGCTTGGGTGGTGTTGCGTGATGAATCCTGAGCAGCTCATGTCTTTCAAATCAGGTGTTCGAACCCCTGGGTTTGATCTTGGCATTATTTGGCATTCTTCTGCTCCTCTCTCATTCTCCGCTTCACCTTCCTTTCTGATACTTTTTTTGGCCCCGGCACCGAGGGCCACTCACCTCATCACCTCACCCATTCCCTCGTGGGACGAAGCAGGTTCAAGAGGTCAAGCAGGCAGCCCTCTGCCGACGAGTCCTTGCAAGTTTAGTTGAATCCGCACGCTGCTCAAAAGAGGCTCCTCTGGACCCTATCCATACCAGACATTCTTCAGACAAGACAACTGCACCTTCAGGGCCGAGTCCCACTTGGCACCCAGCCCTTCTCTCCACTTCCAATAAGTAGTTTGGGGGGGAGTTCCCCCACGTGCCTGAGGTTCAAGACCTGCACTTTGCTGCACCATCCTCAGGCACCCTGGCGTGAGTCGGAAGCATGTAGCATGCCACAGGGCCTATGGGCTAATTGCGGTCATGGAGACTCTTAGACTCTAGGACCATCGATGGATGCTACCAAATCCCGTACTTCCTGAACATGTCCATGTAGCTGCTTTGTTGCCTGAGGCGGCCTTCTCATCTCGGGGCCCAGTGGCAGCGGGAAGACCACGCTGCAGCCTGACGGTGGTATTGGCGGTGGTGAGGAGTTGGGATTTTGGGTTTTCCAGGCGGCTCCAGAGATTCGGGATTGAAGCCTTTGGCTGCTCACGTACACAGAAGGCCTTGAAATCGTCAGGACAACATGTAATCAATGGTCCAGAATCTCTGCACGGCGGAGATTAGGACCTCAAGCCCGAAGCATGTCGGCTTTGGACTAAAGGGTCCTCTGACAACTGTGCCCCGCCTGGTTTGTTCGGCGTGCGCGATTAAGCCTGTCTGGTAGAGGTTTGGTTGGTTCGTTTGCTAGGTTGCGGCCTTGTTGCATCCAGGTCTGGGTCGATGGCTACTGAACTTCAAAGGCACGTTGAGTTGAAGTTTTCCCAGTGTCCGAGCGTGTGCGAGTAGACCTAGCCTAGGGAAGAGCCCAGGCTCCGGGCTCTGGCGGGCCTCTGGCACTGGGGACGCGGCTCCATTCGCCTCGCAGAGCACCGAGCAGCGGAGCTGAAATAGGACCGAAGCCTCAGAGGCAGTGTAGGGTTGTGGAGTCGCAGTTTACGATCCCTACATGAGCAGGAGTGAGAGTGTGTGACAAAAGAAGAGCGAGGTTAGCCGAGCCACCACCTCACGCACCCTCTCCAAAAGGTGGGAGACACCCCTTGCCGCTGGAAGAGAGCCGGTGCTGTATCACAATCACGGGAATGCAGGCCCCTAACATACTGAAGACAGTTTTATGGAGAACCGTCGCATACACCACATCAGCGCCGCTGACTCTCTGACGAGGGGGTGGGGTGGGGGGGGGGGGCGGGAATCCCTCAATTTTGCCCCAAGAGCTCCCATTCACATCCTCACGTAACCCTCTAAGCAGATGGGGCGTAACCCCCACGCCGAGGAGTGCCTCTTCCTGCCGCAACGACCGTACATGAGCCTGGGCACCTTGAGGGACCAGCTCCTGTACCCCAACTGCCAGGCTTGGCCAGTTGAGGGGAGACTGTCGCGAATCCGGCACTGACCCAATGTGCTGTGCTCTTGAGGACACGACATCTGTCAAGCCCCAAAGCACCTCGAACCTCTGCACTGAGCGGCAAGAAGGTCAGCATCGAGGATGACGCGCTTCGTGAGCTTCTCGGCTGTGGTGATTGATGCATCGTTGGGTCGTTGGGGCGATGGCATGGCCAAATTGATGGACCCCAAGCTAAAAGTTACCGCAGCCCAGATCTGTAGAAGAGAGCTGGCTGTTCGGCGTAGGAGTAAAGCATTGGTAAAGGAACGGCATACGGGTCTCAGGACAGAAGCAACTGCACACATTTCTACGATGGCCCCGACTGGGCCCCCTCAATGGCTAGTGCCACATTGGTAGAAAGTAGCAAGTCTGCGACGACGAAAGCGCCGAACCCTCACACCCCATACCGTCATCAAGCAGAGTTCCCCTGAGCTCTTCAACGTAAGGCTCGAGGCCGAACCAGTCCAATCGCTGACTCCTCGAGACCGTCAGCCCCCTTAAGCCCCGAAGCATCGCATGTCCCGCATGTCCTGGCCTTGCGCAGCATTCTGGCCCGCGTTGGCCTTCACAGCGTCCTGAAGCGCACGGGCGGCAATTTGGATTGGATGGACCCGCGGGGTTGGGTCTTCTGGGAGCCAAGAAGAAGGAGAATTTCTCGTCGGGCTCGTAGCATGCTCTGATTTAATAGCACGATTCTCGCGCGTGGGTTTCCCTCATCGCAGCTGCATGTGCAACGTTTGGCAGCAGTTCGCCACGCAGATGTTAATGCCGAATATGCCGACCTCAAGTCTGCTTTGCCTTTGTTCAAGCCCTGGGTTTTGGCAAGCCCAGAGACTTTAATCAGATCTCATATCCCAGGGGAATAAAACATATCACGGCAAGAGTGGGTAGAACGCCTCGCCCATCTCATCCTACTCTTCTCAAATCTATTCGTCCTCGTTTGCATCATGCAATGCTGGATGAACCGATGAACGCTCTTGCAAACGTTTGTGGTGAGGGGGGGAGGGGGGAGGGCGGAGGGGAGGAGGGGTAGAGGGGGGTTGGGGGGCGGCGGAGAAGCGAAGGGAAGGGAAGACTGTAGAAATCCCCATCTTCAAAGCAAAAGAACGCGATCCTGGAAAAAAATCTGGTTCGATCCCTTGTCTTTCTTCATGAAAAGAAGTGAGGCGGATAGCGGCAGCATTCGGTTAACCGAAGAAGCCCTTCTGGTTGCACAAGAGATGTAGAGATGTATTTGTCCAGCGCCTTTTGCTCTCACTGTAGGCCAAAGAAAGCACACCTGGCTTCAGACTGTTTCAGAGCTAGCAACTTGGAGAAGATCACCCCACGCTTTCGCTGACCAGCGGACTTCCCGAGAACCTTTCATTTGGTTGCTGTTTTAGGCAGCTCTGCCGTCCGCCGCCGTGAGAAGAGTTTATTTCGCACTTTTCGATGGGTGGGGGGGAAAACGCTGCTTCTGCACGTTTGGTATTTGCAGCAAAGGCGAAGTTTTTCTTTCTGGGTTGGGGTGAGGGGTGCGGGGACACTGTCTCCATCTTCTGCATGCCCCCTTGCAAAGAGCTGTTGAAGCAGTGAGGCTACGTGACAGGAGTGACATGCAAAACCAGGAAGTCTTGGCCCTTGGCAGAAAGCCGTGTTGCAACCCCACGCTTTTTCAAAAACCCACAAACATTCTACGGCGGCGCAGGGCATATAGGTGTTTTACGAGGTCTGGTTTAGGAGGCAACTCTTCTGGAGGATAGTTGCTGATGGGTAGTAGACAGGACCGCTGGGATGAGCAGCTGAGCATCGGCGAGCCTTGGCCGTTACCTCTCGAATTTCATTTTCAAGTTGGGATGCTCTCCCCTTATACCGAGTCCTTACCAGGGATTATAGTACCCCCCATTATAAGCCTGTGAAGGACTGTTAGTATAAGGGGGAACATACCAGTTTTCAAGTCCTAAACAACTTGCAAGGCTCCTGAGACCTCCTGAGATCTTAAGATCCCCTACAGAAGAGTCGAGGAACAACAACGGCTGAGCGTGGCACGCGTGTTGGTGCAGCGCCCGCGGTACGTCCTTGCAGATGAGGTGGGGTGTGCGGGCGTCGCTCGGGGCTGAGGGTTTTTTGGCGTTCCGACAGTATTGCTCCGCCAGGTGACGTCTGCAAATGACCCGGCCCACGAGCCCTGGCGGGCTTTAGGAAGCAAAGGCGGGTCAAAGTCAAGAGTTCGCAGCCTCACTTCGCAGGCAGTAAATTCTTTAACAGTAGACCAGTTCAAGTTCTGTCTCACCCTCCGCCGCCCTCAGATCTCTGACTCTCTTCACTATATTTCGTCCCCCTGGCTAGGTTTCTGTGCTCAGACTGACAGTCTGCACAAACGTAGGGAAAAAGGACCCTCGCACTTGAGCTGAGGAGGAAATCGTTTACCAGTGCATCGCTTCGACCTGCAAGGCCTGGATGGGTCAGGGAGGGTCAGTTTTGGTCCCCCGAGTTTATTGTGGTGTTCAGGTCAGGTTTGCAAGGGCAGACCCCAGGGCCACAGCCGCAGCCACACACAATTGCGCACCAAAGCGGTCCAAATCTCACAAACTTCGCAAGACCTGAAAACCCAGTGACCTCTGGAGCAAGAGGCGAGGGGGGGGCATCTATGCGCTTTGGCTGCGACGCCTATTAACCCATGTGCAAAAACGACTTGCGCTAGTACAGCTGCACCCCGCCCCTCATCTGGAGAGCCGCGCTTTGTAGCAATTTCTGCAGCCCTCAAGATACAGTAACTTGAGCCAGAGAACGTCGGCAGGACATGGATATGTCACTCCACGCAACATGCCAACTGAAATTGTGGCAGCTTTCTTCCGTAGCCGGTCCACGACCCGTCCGTTGGTCTGGGCGCCATGACACTGGCCGGTCGTCCCTGCTCTTTGCGCAGCCGACGAGAAGATACCTCTGAATGTGGGGATGATCTCTTTCTCGGGTTAGGGTCTCCTTTGCCTTGGTTCGCGGCTTCCTTCAATTCCGCACCCAGTCAACGTAGAGCTTCTTCGGCATTAGAAAATTTCGGCACCCAATAAAGCTATGCCGTGCTATCAAGGGAGGCTTCCAAGTCAGCAGATCCGCAAAAAGGTGCAAAAGGTGCACAATCCCGTGGACAGAGGGGGGGTTAAGGCGCCCTTTTTCATGAGGTTTTGTAAGTGTTGTTCGGACTCAATGCGGCGCGGAGCAATGCTGTCGAGACCAACTTTAAATCGCACAGGCTTCTCTCAACAAAACTGCTTGCCGGCGAGAAAACTTAGAACCAATGAAATCTTGAACCAGGAGGCCTGGAGCCTCAACGCCCCGAGATCTTCAAGCTTGGACCCCAATCCTTCGCAAGCGCCACGCCGAAGCACAGGCTTTCGTCTCAGTCGGCCACCGAAAGAGCCTCGAGGCCAACCCACACGTTCTCTTTGTTGTTTGTGGTTGGGCCCGGGGATGTTCCCTGAGCGTTGAGGATTGAGGGTTCTCATTTCGATGATTTCGATCCATTTTCCGATCGCCTGCCACTACCGGCAGGCTTACCACGCGTGGAATCTGCGGCTGACGGGCCCCGACGGAAAGTGGGTGCTGGAAAAACTTACGCCGTGCTGCGAAGCATTGCGAAGGTTCAGCTCAACTTGTAGATGCAGCGCCTTTCCCAGAACACATGACGGGATCAGGGAGATCTGCCTAGTAGGGTGGTTCCAAGTATCTCCAAGTACAGTACCACGTGCCTTTGAACTCTCTTTGCATGAATCATGTTGCTGCACCAGAGCCTTGAAGCCTCATGCCGCTTCGCCGCAGCTCTTGGCTGTTACCCCAGCGGGTAAGTCCACGGCTCCAGCGAGGAGCGAAAGGGAACATGGACGCCTCCGATGCAAAGTCGCAGCGCGAGCCCCAGAGGTCCTCGTGCACAGGCCGTTAGGAGCTCAGTGAATCTCGAGCCTCCTCCCACCCCAAACTCAGTGAAACCATCGTACATCACTCCACTGAACAACTGTGGGTAAAGGGGGTGCCAAGTTGCAGGACAACATTTTCTGCAATAGCCGTGCTCAAGTACCTCAAGTATGGGCAAGGGACGGGGCGGTTAGGGAGGCGACGGGCAGGGAGGCGACAATTGACCGCTGTCTAGCCACAGCATGAAATCTGTCGCATCCTGCCCACAAACATGCGCAACCTGTACTAAATGTAGAGCTCTCTGTTCTGAATGCCAAAGGTTCTTCCTCCCCACCAGAAACAACTACGAAGAAGGTCATCTCCAAACCCACCCCGCTTGAGGGCCATGATGGACAAACTCGAGTCCTTTAGCGCCGTGGCCCCCGCGACCTCCGGCACTTCCGGCACTTCGGGGATCCCGGCCGCGCCGAAGCGGACGGTGGAAGCGAAGAATCCCTCGGCCAGGGCCTCGGGTCAAAGCCTACGTCCTACGTTCTCTGAAGGTTGGTTGTGTCCGGGTGGGGGATTGGGTTTTGGCGACTGATTCTGTGCTTGGGAGGTAGGAAGAGATTCAGGGCAAGATGTGGCATTTCATACGTGCCGCGCCTCAGCATCCGCTGAGGCGAAGCGAACACGTGCCTGCCTGAGCAGAGGGGCAGGTTCCTCCTGCCAACCGTTTGAGTTCATTGTGCTGGGTTTGTTTACGGATTCTGATGGACTATGCTTCCCAGCATTGCTTCTCGAGTCCTACAGGCTTGGGTTTCTCCGGCCAGCTGAGGCAACAGCTTTAATGGACGGCGCTTCTCCTTCGAGAAGTTTGCCAGGCGGAAGAGTCGGGGGTAGACAGGAAATCCGACCGTGTGGGAGTCGAAGCCTGAGAAATGTCCAGAGCCCTGTTTGCCAGCTTCCTTGCTATTGACCCTGATGGGAGGCCGAAAGCGCGTGAGGGATGGACAGGCCTTGGGGAAGGTAGGTCTGTCGAAGCCCAGGAGAGTCCTGACGACCCGACCCGACAGAAGCCTTTTTAGCCTTTTGCCACACCGCCGCAAAGCCCACACCCTAAACCCTACGCCGAACCCCTGCACCACTGGCTGAAGGGTCTTTGAAGATCGGCCGGTGCTGTGACAGCCCTTCGTTGCTTGATCCTGAGCATCCCCACGAAATCCCGCCTCTCCAAACCAACACCCTCGCTTGCAGCAAGCGGCAGAAGTACTGTATACCGACATGGAAAGTTGCAATCCTGCGGGAGGTCCTCTGGAGTTCATGCAGGTGGACATTGACTACTACACCAAGGCCCAAGATCGGTAGCAGAAGAAAAGCTGCTCTTGAAGCGGTGGTTGTAAGGCTCGGGAGTCGCAGTCTGCCCACTCAGCCCTAGCAGCTCGGAGATGTGCAAAGCAGAGAAGCACATAAAAAGCTAGATGCATCTTAGCTGACCTCGGCCGCTCGTAAGCCATCCGAAAGCCCATAGAGTCATTGAGACAAAGCCGAAAGCCTGAGGCCCAGAAAGCCAAGTTCATTAAAATGAGGTCCGTTCCGCTAAAATATAGCCCCTCCTCGACGTACCCTAGTTCCAGTACTACAAGGGCCCCAAGCGACCATATCATAAACAGCTAACCCGGTAACAACGTTCAATCGTTTTGACATTCTTCTAGCGCCTGTTGAGGCCAAGTTGGGCCTGGCAGAGCTGTAGCATTGTCGAATTTGGTCCTCTGGGAGCTGTCTTTGGTGAGCGCGCAAGGGTTGGGATACATGGGGATATGGGAGCTTCAGGACTTCACGGTCGTAGCACAGACATGCCGACGGGGAGAGGTAGACTCAGCCTGAGAACTCCAGACCCCAATTCTTGAGAAGCCTGAACTGCAGAACCCCTCACAGCAAGAGCTGCCGTCAGTTGAACCCAAGCTCCAGGCCCCGGACCCTCGATTTCCCAACGCAGCGAGCCCGCTGAACCCGGACACGTCGGCAGCCGTGCTCCGCATGTATGGGGCCTGGGGCCTTAGCCGCCTTAGCCGCCTTAGCCTTGGGATTTCAGTGGTTTTATATGGTTTTATTTGGGGGCGGCGAAATGTGGTTCCTTGCGATTGCAGGGTCGTTCAGACCAGAGTTGCTCCGCCCAGCCCAGGTTCCGGTGTGTTGGCGTTTGTGTTTCTCACCCGTGTCAGCTTGGAGGGCTGGAGGAACACTGAGTGCTTGGCAACGCTGTAGGCAACACTGTAGCACGATTGAAAGCCGAAGCCCCTTGCCTGCGTGCGTCCGAGGTGACGGAGCTGGGCCACAGCGTGCTAGCACACATCCACGGCTTCGAGCCGTACTTCTTCGTCGAGTGCCCAAAGGAGATGGTGAACTTGTTGTCAATGCCGGTTTCCGAAGCGCTTGGCTTTAAGATTGTATTTCCAGGATCAAAGCAATCGCGACACTGCAAAATTGGTTTGCGCGGCAGTGCTGATGTTAGCAGTTTAGCATCGGTCATGCGGCTGCCGGGCCCCTCTTTCACCAAGCAGGTCTTGTGTTAATTACTCATTCCGGCAGGCTTGGGTTTGGAGCTCGGAGATCTGCGAATGTTACGTGCTAGCCAGCATCCGCAGTTTTAAACCGATATCCGGAGATGTGCGCAAAACAGAGTATGCTCTCCGCGGCAGGAGTTGCAAAATCCTGAGGGCGTGGCAAGCTTCCAAAGTGCCTGCGGCTTTAGTGCTGGCAAGCTTGGGTGTAAGAGCATTTCATGAGTTCGAACTTTGTTCAAACATCACTTTAGGGTTTGGGGATGTGCTTGCTTGTTTTAGAAACCTAGCAACATCGTCCGAGATTTGATTGACGAGCGTGTGGCACGGATAAGAGGACTGAAGCAACCGAAGAGAAGCTCGCGCAAAGAACCGTTGCAGTGCAGGAAACCAACTGAACCGATCGGACCCCATGTTGTTTGTCTCTCCTGAACATCGCGAGAGTTTGTATCTTATTTCCCGGCAGAAGCCTCGAAACTCTTCTGCCGAACCGCTCGACGCCAGGTGCGTTGGAGGCGCTGTTGGCTTCGTCGAACTGCTGCGGCCCAAGGGAATGAGAGTTCGGGCCCTCAGGAGTACGAAGCTCTGACAATCCTTAGTGCATGCGGATTCAAATATGGCTTGTTTTCAGGTTCAGACGCTATTTCGACTAGGTTGCTAATGAGATAAGGCAGCTGAGGCTGGGACAAGCCGAACCCCTACGTTCGCAAGGTCGAGATGGTTCAGCGATCTACCCTTATGCGCCGCTCGGATGAGACCATCCTGGTTCCGTCGCTCTTGTCATGTCAGCTACAGAGAGCCTTAGTTTAAGTTCGAGAGGGTCGGTGCTAGACACGGCTCTTGGGTTGTGTGCTGCTTGTATTGCAAGTTGCCCTCTCAGCCCTCCAACTTGACACTCCAGCCAAACGCCTGCAAGAGACCCACAAAAAGATGCCGAAAGGTGTACGAAACTTAATAAAAGTGTAGGTCCCTGCTTGGGCCCCGAACTCTTCAGAAACTGAAGCCCATGATGACTTCACGGCAGTCCGAGGTTGGCAGGGCTCCTGCGACCACTCCTGCTTCCTGCACCTTGTGCCGAATTTGGACTCTTGAAGATTCAAGTTATTATGAAGAGCTTGCCCTTACCCTAAAAGCCCTATCTCGCCAAAGGGGCCGAGACTTCCGGATATTTCCGAGACTCCCTGAGCTCCCGTTTTGCTTCGTCATGGCTAGTGGGGTTCGCAAGTTGGCTGCGAACTTGGCCTACGCCCGTCGCAGCGCAAAGTGCCTCGGCCTGGGGGAGGTTGCCAGCTCCATCTCTCGCATTCTGCAGACGGTGGCGGAACAGGAGGCGAAAGTGGCTGCTACTGCCGCCCATGTAGCTACCCAGACTGATTCGAGTGTGGGGGGTGCTTCGGCCTGATGCGTGTGTGGCCATTCAGACTGAGATAACGCTGGACGCACCTGCTGCGCCCACCGTGACCGACACGGACTATGAGCTAGAAGCCTGCGGGATCGCGATTCATGGACGAGATGGGGTGTATGTGACTCTGCAGGGGGTGATGTCGACACTGCGGTGCGTCCAATGTCGCCTGAGCCGGGGTTGTCGACGAAAGGTCCAGCTGGACCCACTGGGGGCGAAATTGAAGCCGAAAGGTATGAAGTGGGCGCAAGCTCGGGCATGGTTGCCTTTTTTGATTGGTGGCTTCAATATTACCTTGGTATGCTGGAGACCGATTCGGCACGACTTGCCCCCACCACCTTGGACGGCCTCATCACAGATGCGCGACACAGTCTGTGTAGAATGCGCCGAAGCTCAGCGGGCCCCAGCACGAGCAATGAGGAGAAAAACTGCGTGATCCGGATGCGTGCTCTCTTGAAGTCTCGCCAAGATATGCTTCAGGCAACCAGTGAATTCCTAAGCCAGCTCTTTGTACAGTGCATGCGTTCAGGGGCGAGTTGAATTCGGATGCTCAGAAGAAGGTCAGGTTGAGTATTGTGTACATCGGTCGGTTGTTTGCGCTTGCTTTATTGCTTGGGTGCACTTCTGGTTGAGCGAGTTTCTTTGCATGTTGCTCGTTGTCCAGTGCTGAGCTCCTCGGTTATGCCAAGTTGCAGCTCCTTGGATGTGCGAATTAGTGCGGGTTCGTGCAAGCTGCGAACCCAGATTGTACCTCGCCTGGCCTGTCCGAGTGTCAGCGATTAAAAGCCCCATTAGAAATGGCTACGACTCAAGCGCCTCAACACTTAGCCCTTGTTCCGGCACATCTGTGCTGTCATGGCCACACGCACAGAATGTGCAGTCGCTGTGGACGTGAGCTTTAACCTTGATGGCACGCGTGAGAGCGCTGGACACTTCAGGATTGGATCTTCATTGTCCGCCAGGCAAAGCAGCGGAAGAACATCATTGCCAAGCCAGTGGGACCACTACCGAATCGTCTGCCAAAGCTGGCAAACGCAAATGAAGACTTTGATCCAACGGAGATGACGAAGCCAACGCGCAAGCCCGGCTTCAAGTAAGTAGGGAGGGGCACGGATCGAATGATGAGTCCGTGGCTTCAACGGAGGTACAACATAGTCCGAAGACGCGCGGGGGCGGTTTGCACCTACCCCAAAAACCCAGAGCTAAACTCGAATAGTCAACCCTGCGATGCAGATTGGCCCCAGCTGTGCAGGAGGGAAAAACATCCGAATAGTCTAAACTTTACACTTTAAAACCTTAAGCTTTAACAAGCGAAACCCTAAAACCGTAAATCCCTACAACCAAGTTCTTTGGGGGGTCTGGCTGATGTATTTCCCCAAGCCAGCGTTGGACAATGTTACAAAGCTCTCCAGAGACAAGCGCCAAGTGGCGACTGATTTTTCGACGCAGCATCCTGAGGCGGGTCACTGTGGCCGTGCCGAGCTTGGTAGCGACGAGCCGTCGGATGATCGAGGCATCGGTGGAAGAGTCTTTTGCGCTGTGGTCTGCCTTTCGGTTGAGGCTTGTTGCTTCGTGTTGAGGTGTGCCTTGAGCACCGAAGCCTTTTCTCGGACTCTGATGCCACCCTTGACTCTGAGCTGTCGAGGGTGGTTTCCGACTGGACAAGGGCTACTTCGCGCCGAGCACGCCCGTAGCTGAGCTCCGCGCCCGCGAGGGTTCCTACAATTCCACGAATAGTATTTAGTTGAACTGCAACTTTCGTGGTCGTGGCTTCTTACAGCACGTTCTCGGAAGAACATAGAGAGGGACACCTTGGAGAATGTTCAAGCAAGTCCAAGCACGTTTAAGTCGGTGTATGTGTGTGTGTGTGTGTGCTCGGGGTTTCGCTTAGTCGACCGAACCTGCATGGCGGGTTGCTGACAAATGCTCGCGCCCTCGACTCCGCGTTGCCTAACCCAGCGAGCTCAAGTGCTAAGTGCGAGGAACCGAACTCTGCAGCTCATGCATCACTTCATGCTGTCTTTGTGGCGATGTGCCGTCACTATGGCTTGACATCAGCTGAATCTTGAGGTCCTACGAGACGAACATCCCGTTTGCACTCCGCTTCATGATTGCTGGGGCCTCAGGCGCAGACAAGAAGAATTTGATGTGTGCTGAAAGGCTGTTTTTCGCGTTTTTCGCGTATCTTAAATCCAGGGAGCCGGAGGGGGTTCTCACTTGGGATGCCAGGGAGGTGAGGTTTTTTGAAGCAACCCTGTGCTGCTAGTCGGATTTCGGAAGCTATCTTGTGCGCTAGTCACTGCTGCCATCCCCTCGCCATTGGCCGCTCCCCGTTCGCGTCATCTACCATGCCCCAAAAACCCTTCGGCCCAAAAAGTCGCCCAAACCTTCGACATGCCCCGTGGAGCGGTGCCCCCTAGATTATGGCAATCAGACCAGAGCATCTGCCATGGCAAGGATCGGGAGCTGGCTGGGGGCGGCTGGGTCTGCGCTGCGGAGGGCTTCCGACGGCAGGGCGCTGCTCCCAGCATTGTACCGCCTGGCATCACGCCAACGCTGCAGATCTCGCAGCGGCAGTGAGCAGGGCAGTGTGGTGCTGTGTTGTGGAGCAGGATTTTTTTACAGGTTTTGGAGCTGGTTCGGCGGTTCAATCAGGTTCCTTAGCAAGGGGGAAGGCATGCGATTGATAGTGTAAGGCAACAATCCCCACCCCCACTGTGCCATCCGATGGCTTAGCAAGGGCGCCCCGACTGTCCTAAGTTATCCTAAGCCCCAATGGTTCGAGCGATTCCCTGATGCCTGCATCCCACGCGATCTGTTTGCTTGAGGTCCCGACTGTGTGAGCACATGCCAGATCGAGATAGACATGCACTACTCGAACTTGATGCCGCAGGCCCTGGGATTTTGGGGAGTTCGGGTTTTGCAAGGCCGTAGTATCGGTTTGCAGAGTTCTCGTCTGCATCTTCGGGCTTGGGATTTCCGGCCCAACGCTTCGGGCATGAGAGGAGAAGCTGAAGATTGCACCGTTGCGGGTGCTGTCTTTCGACATCGAGCTCGAGCCCAAGACAGGGCAACAAAGCTTTATGCTCTGCACTTGTCGGGAGTTTTGGTTGCCGGGCTTGGATTGCTCTGCTGGAATACGTGGCCCGAGCTAGGAAGGCAGGTTGCCTACTCACTGAACCTGCTACCTCTTTCAAAGCCACACGACCCAGGTGCTACAACCCAGAGGGCAAGGCTGGAGTTTTTTGCTTGAGACGGCCTGTTAGGACTCTTAGCAGGGCACACAAGAGTTACGAGAAGCTACAAATACCTCAAGCTTCGTGGGGCTTTTTGTGTGACCTTCTGCCCAGAACTCCTCACCAACCCCCCCGGCGGGCCACGCAATTTGCAAATCCCGCGGAAACCTTTGGCTGGCAACCTGTGCTGCAGGGCTTTCCGAAGGCAGAGAGCAGCCCCGTGATCCAGATTGCAGTTTACCTCAAGGCTGATGGGGCTGGATGTATATACGGAATTTGGTTTGTTTGGGGTATATACTGGACTTATTTTATGTTAAGGGTTTAGGGTGTACGGTTTAAGACTAGATGATCCCCTCTCAGCCCAGGTGTGGAGGAAAACAAAGACGGGCTGCGAAAAAGGGTTTAGTTTGACTTGCTCAGACTTGAGCGTTAGGGTGTGCTGGCGTGCTGCATGCTGTCTCAAGGGATACCCTTAAGGTTGTACCCCTAAAGGTTCTCCTTAGTATACTCCTAACATGGCCCTTGTATTCCCTCAGGGTTCCTGAAACAGGGACCCCAAAACCTAAGGGTACAACCTTAAGGGTCCAAGGTAGAACCCCTAGAGTGTCAGCGCTTTCGGATTCCACTTTGACCTCGTGTAAGATTTTGAACGTTCCATCTCCGTCTGAAAAGAAGGAAACGCTAGCTGTCCTTTGAGGCCCGGTGCAATTCCCAAACTCGAGGCTCCTAGACCCCCTTAGCTGTGCCACAACATGCAATTCGAAGAGCTTCGTTGACATTGTTGTGCATCCCACGAGGTGCACGGTTGTGAGCGCGCGCCGGGGTCCAAGATCGGCCCCCCAAGATCGGCTCCTCTTGGAAAGAGTGAGGCCATGTGTTTGCTGAGGAGAACAGACCTCCAGGGGCCCCTCAGAGTTTCAGGAGGTGCTGCGGTTCGAGTTTCAATTTCGGGCTTGAGGGACGCGCGGTCCATTCTTAGATTCTTAGAAAGCACCTCCAGGCCACAAAGCTGTAGCGGAGAAAATTGATGTAGGCCGCAGGCCACACGCCCATGACAGCGTCAGCAGCCCACAGGGATCGCAAAGAGTTCCGCTAGGCTTTGCACTTGTCCATCCTTCCTTGCCACGACTCTCCAGGAGAGCCGTATGCCTCTCTACAACACCCCCAACCACATAACAAGTCTTCTTTCGCATGGTCCTGCACTTGTTCGTCTTCTCCTCCTGGTCGTCGTCGTCGTCGTGGTGGTGCTGGTGGTGGTCGTCGTCGTGGTCGTGGTCTTGGTGGTTGCGGTTGTTGTTGCGGTTGGGGTAGAGCTATGAGCTACGTGGGGCAGTCCCAAGGCTGGTCCATGCGGTGTGGACCTTGAACACCTGCAACGACATCGCAGGAGCCGGGGTGGGAGCCGGTCGTTTCTTACCTTGGCATGATCCTTCGGCCCATGACCTGCTGCCCAATGGCCCGCAAAGCACGAGAGGAGGCGTCTCAAGAGTGCTCAGTTGAACTGCAGGTGCCTTGGTCTATGCCTTCGACTCGGAGGAGGAGATGCTCCTAAGCTTTCGGCAGTTCCTGCAGGACTGATGCAAGGGGGGCAGTCTAGGCTCAGCAGGTTTGCAGTGTTTGGCTGCTTGTTGAAAGCAGATCCTGGCGTATGTAACCACGAAACATATCGGTTTGGGTTAGAGCTAGTTTCCGCCCGGATCATGTTCTCTTGGCACTAAGGTCCTTGAAGCACCCGCATCGAATCCGAAATCCATCAGGTGAGCACTAAGAACTCAAAGATCATGCATGGACGAGCCCCCGACAGCACTGTTCGCACGATCGCTGCCCCTGTCCCGATGAGGTTTGGGGTCTTGCATGCGGTTTTCATGCCCGAGTTCTATTTTTGTGGGCTGACTTTCAGAAGCTGCAACGTCAGAAGGATGTCGATGTGCCAATGCAGAGACTTGCAGATTTGAGTGGGCCGCGCCGATGCACGCATCTTGGGATCGCGACCTTGCAGAACTGTAGGCTTGGGATTTGGGAACCTAAACCCGAGAGCCTCGCCTGCTTGAGCTAGTTGTGAGAGTCGAAGCCCTTGCGCTTCACAAGGCGAATCCCCTGGAAAACCCTCAATCATCCTCGACCTTAGAAACCCCCTGGAAACATTTAAGCCATCTTAAACCCTCTTAAGCCCTCTTAAACCCTGCTAAGCCCTCTTAAACCCTGTTAAGCCCTCTTCAACCGTCTTAAACCCTCTTAAGCCCTGCAGCCACCATAGATGCAGCCATGGATTTCTGTCCTCGCGCTTGCCACGGCGCCCTTACTGGGGGCCGCAGGGCCCAGTGCAGAATGCTTCGCGGCTGGCGCTAAGGTGCTATTAAGGTTGCCGTGATTCGTAGGGATGGAACCTAAACCCCCAAGTCCTGCTCGAGTAGGAGAGTCGAAGCCCAGCAGAGTGGGGCTTGGCGCACAGCAGTAGGAGGCTGGTACAGGCGGGGTTGAGGAAGGTGAAGGCTTCGAAGCTCGGGATTAGAAAGACAAGCTGGGAGCTTTTCCGTGCTGCTAGGTTGATGTTTAGGTCTTTCTGCCGAAACAAGGAGAACTGCAAACTTGTTGGAAACAACAAAGGAAACACTAGGGGCAGAACACGAAAGCCTAGGAACAGCAAGGAGTCTCACTAGAAAGATCATACGAAAGCATGAGTAACTTGCCATTGGGTCCTGTTGATCTATCCGCTTGTGTTCCTACTTTGCTTTTCCACTTCGGCCTTTCGCAGTTGCTTCGTTTGCAAATGACTTGCCTGCTGAACCAGATTTGACTCTGGAAGCTCTGAGACGTCATAAAACCAAGCACGGCACAAGTCTGTCGAGGCTTCAACGAGCTCCAGTCGAAGGTCCTCTGGGGAGGGCTAGACAGCAAGTTCTTCAGGGGGAGGCTGCAGCAAAATTTTTTGACAAGAGAGTGTGCGAGAAGGGCCCCAGCAGTTCTACAGAACTGCTACGTTCTCCTTGTAAAACACTTGTGCATTCTGCACCTTCGTAGGTTTGCACGGCTTCGTAGTTCAGAGGTGCTTACATGGAGCCCACAAGGTGGCACAGACCGAAACTGGCGTTGACACCCGCACGCAGTAGTGCACAAAGTGCATGCAAGTGGTGGCAAGCTTGGTGGATTTCTCACTTTGGCTCCTTTCCTCTGCGGGAACAAAGGAGAAACATCAGGTGCTTCGGTCTGCTGGAGATCGAAGCAGTGCTGAGGAGAACCAATGAAGCCAAAGGGCCTCAAGATCTCTACACTTCTATGCCGGGCGACCCAACGGTGGACCATGTGTATCGTTGAAATCCAGTATCCGGGCGAGCTCTCAAGCAGTCGAGAAACTTCAAAAGGCCAGATGCCGAAGCATCTTTTTCGTTACATCAGGATCGCGGGCTGGTCCGTATAAGATCGTTCAAGGGTTTTCGGTCCTGTCGAGATGAGATCTGGATGTATGTTGCAGTCGTGCCAGAGAGGTGACCGTGCTGATCAGGCAAGAACACCCCCAAACATAACAATGAAGGGCACCTCTGATGTTGGCTACTTGGAAAAATGGTCGCGACTGTTTCATGTGGTTGGGTGGCTCCCTAGCATCGACAAGTCAACAGATCGAAGGGTCAACAACACTGCTGAGTCTAACGTACTCTACTTTCCAAAGAAGAAAAAAGGTGGGGCGACTGCGAGAGCTCAGCGGCGTCATGTCGCAGGACGCCCCGGCATGGTCGATACGAACTCTCACCCAGTGTGGCATGACCTTCCACGGCCGGTTGCAGGACCACAACTGGGACATCCTCCACCGCCGGGGCGAGAGAACTATTTGCTTGCAGGCCAGGAGTAAAGGGTTCCCAGGTCAGGAGACCACCCATGTCGCGCCTGGAAAGGAAGGGAACCGATTCTACTTCGTTCTGATGTTCTACTACGCGATGGAGGGGGCCGCGGCGCTCAGATCTCCGAAGCCTTCACCTTCACGCAAGTATATTTGCTCACTATGATTCTGACGTGGTTGTGGTTGTGATTAAGATTGTGTTTATCACAGTCCTGCATCTGTAGGCTCAGGCCCAGAGTGACAATCCGCAGCATGTTGCCCTACAGTGGACATTCAATACTTGAGCTGGCGGCTCTCCTGGCAAAACCAGCTTTAAGTGCCCTCTGAGCAGACAAAATCCGAGGCTGTCCATGGAACGACGGACTACGCCACCTGCTTGCCGCGGAATTGCTCGGAGACGGAGCTCATCGATGATATCCTACCGAAGATTCTCGGAGAGGTTGCTGTTGCCTTCGTGGTGCTGGGTTACAGTCGGTGGTGCTGCCATGAGCCCAAATCAGAGAGTCGACAAGGCAGCCAGCACAATCATTTGGAATGTTCTGCCATCCTTGCCATGTATTGGTTTATCTAGAAGCTTGCGATTTTCGGTGCGATGCGAGTACTTTACGGGTTTGAAGCTTTAGAGTCGCCGTCCGCCATTCTTGCAGGATTAGGGTTAGGCTTCCCATACACTCCGCACATATCTGCTAGAGTCTAGAGGCCTCAAAATGTCATGTCATGTCATGTCAATGGTTTAGGCTGCCTGGGGTGTTTGTTTGGGGGCCGAGGGGCATGTTTGATGTTGCTGGGCTTCGCCCGAACTTCGCCCGCCGAGGGTCTATCAGAACTTTTTCGACTATCACTCGGTCTGGCTGCCCGATGGCTCGCATGACCCCGTCAAAAGCATCACGCAGCTCGGCATCCCCGGAACGGAGCCCGCGGCCAATCTCGATTTTCAAACTCACGTGGGAACTGAACAGTTTAAGTTGAGCTCCTTGCACCCTGCACCGTCTGCGGTAGTCCTCACCTTCTGCCAGTCCTGTAAGTTTTGAGATGCCTGGGAGCCTTCAGATGCTGCCGCTTCAGGTATTCCATGACCCTCAAGGAATTTAGGAATGGTGTCACCGTCCCCGAGGACTGGGGTGAACCGAGCATGCGGGAGCTTGAACGTGCAGTACATCATGAAAAAGGTTGCCACAGCCGAAAGACTCGCACCAACCGCAGTCCCCAAGCGGTGCGAGGTTAACAATAAACCGTTCAGTAGCCCCGTGGGTGGCAAAGAAATTGGTGGCTTCGTAATTCTACACAATCTCGCAAGCATCAGTGTGTTCGAATCCTGAGGCCTCTACTTGGGCCCAAAGGTTTTCCAGAGGGCGCGAATTTCGAAGAACCTTGTTGCAGCGGCGAGGGGATGTGCTCAGGGCGGTTTATGGGAGTCTAGCTTGCCTTCAGTCCCGTAGCAAAGGGGGCACCTGACAGCAAAGGGGCACCAGTTGCAAAAGTGGCTTAGTGTGGCATGTCAAGGGGCAACATCTCTTTGGTCTCTTACGTTTGGGTCATGGTCCTTGTCGGGATGCCACATAGATTACACGAGCGACTTTAGTCTTCGCTGGGTCTGTTGGATTGTGTTCTTGCCTTGTGGCCTCAAGAGTTCCAAAGATTCCGAGAGGCCGCGTGCAAAGGCCACGTGGAGGGATGTGCCATCGAATTTGGGCTTCGCTTCACTTGAGTGGCTGACCTAAAACCCTCAGCTCATCCCATGGAGTGAGAAGAAGAAATGCACCTGCCGGAGGAGCAGCGCGTTTCGTTGCTCCTGCCGGCGGCGTTGACGGTTTTCCCAGCACTGCTCTGCGACTCGGCGATTGACTTGAAAGTAGCCAGGAGAGTGATTCCAGCGATGGTGGAATCTTGTCCCACGCGACATGCGTAGCCGAAACTTCACGTCTGACGCACACACTGACCTCTTCAGAATCAAGAGGCCTTCGACCCACTAGTGGGGGTTTCCGAAATTAGGGGTACCTTTTTGGGGTCCTTATAATAGGGGAATCCGACTACATGGGTCCCCATTATAGGGGGCCTTGTGCATTCATGCCGAGGCCTTTTGTGCTGGGATTGGCGCCGCGACCTGGGCCCCGGTCTTCATGGGGCCTTCAGCCTCCGCCGGGGTATGGCCTCCCTGCCTGCAAGAGAGTTGGCGGGGCTTCTGACCTGAACAGCTTGAGGTTTTTGATGGCTTTTTGTGGAGGTCAGAAGGGCTTCGGTCTGCCAAAACCCAGAGTAGAATTAAGGATTTTGTGGGCTGCGAGGCTTCGCAACTGGGACGAAGGAAGACCCTTCCTTCACGGACCCCTCAAATATAATATCCTCAAATGGCTTAAGGCTTAAGGGGAAGTGGAGGCTATGGTAGGCTCGAGGAGCGAGTTTCGGGATGCTTTCAGGACCTAAAAGGGGTGTAAAAAAGCCCGTCAAAAGTTCGTCCAAGTGATGCCATGACCCAGTGCCATGACCTGCCTTCTATCGAAACCCGGTTCTTGCTTCTCTTGCGCTTTTGGTGCATGTAAGGGTAACTCTGAGATCCTCGCCCACGCCCCGGGCTTCGTCAGGCAGAGCTCTTCAGCCCCTCTGAGGGCGGGGACTTCTGCGCAGACCTGGGGCGCTTGAGGTGGGGAACGGTTTCCACGGGTCCAGAAGGTTGGTAGCCGGGTTGTTAAAATGAAGTGCTTAATGTGCATAGAGGGCCAATTCCCAAATAGATGGCGCATCACACACCACCACAGGCTGGGCTTCGTCCTCTCGCTCATCACGCTGTCATTGGGCCCTACAGGATTTGAGATTGAGGGGATTTCAGGGGTTTCCGAGCTTTGGCTGGAGGGTTGGCCTTTATTGGACAACCCAGGAAACCCAAAAGAGATTCGACTGAGAGCCGGAAGCTCCGAGGCACGTGACGCAAGGCTCCAAGTGGCGGGAGGTCGAGATGCTTGAGACCAAGTACTTCCTCTTCAAGGCATGTTCCTTCACATAGCCAGAGAATAGTTGAGGTTTCGACATTCACGGTCATGAGACTGGGTGGGTTCTGGGTGCAGGGTTAAGCAAATTATTGGATTTCGAGTTAATGGATTTTGCACCAGGGGGTGGTTCAGTTCAGGAAGCTGCGTTTGCGAAGGGCGAATCTCTGAAGCTCGAGACTTCGGAGCTTCAAACGTTTCATGTGTTTCCGCACCAAACTGGGCGCCCCCTCGTTTAAGTGTCAGGCCTTTTCCGTTTTTAAGTATGGATCAACCCTACATAGCCGCCAACCTTTCCGATTTTGCTAATGTTGGACTCGGTTTAGTACGTAGGGGTCCCCCCCCCCCCAAACAATTTTGGGGTTTTCGGGGATCCTGTATAGTGTGGGCTGGGGTTGTCGTTGTCGTCGTAGTACCAGTAGTACCAGCTTCCTTTTTGGCCTCTCTAAGTTTAAACCAGATCAGCATTTTTTGCCCTTACCGGCGACCCCGGCCCGGCAAACATCGCATAATTGAGGACCACCCTAAACAATGCCGGGTCCCCTATAAGGTTTCGGAAACATCGCATAATAGTGCCCCCTCTCACTAAACCGGGTGCAACATTAGCTGGTGCTTGACAACGACAATGACTGCAAGTCTTTCTTCTTGGGTTTCTTTGGATTTGTGGGGCATTCAGTCGTTGGCACACCGACCCCATTCGAATGGAGGGTGATGTCCTCATCGCCCTGAGCCCAAAGCCGTGTATGTCCCATGCTGCACGCAAGGCGATCCGACCACTTGCCTTGGTGCAAGACGCATTCATCCAGCGACTTGCTGAATGCAGTCTCTGAAAGGGGGGGGGTGGGGGGTGTGCTTGGCGTTGTTCCGTGCTGCGCGGTGCTGTGCTGTGATCAGGTGATTGTAGAGGCCCAAGGCTAGGTGGACGGCTGCACGGCCAAGGCGCAGCAACACTCAGCATGAGGCAGGACAAGATCGGGATGCACCTTGCAGTGCCTCATGCCGCCCCAACCTCCCAGCTCAGGCTCTCCACCTACCTTTGCGTGTGGAGCTACGTCAAAGCGGAGGCTCCTACAGGAAACTGGTGGGTGTTCTCTGTCCTGAGTTTGTGTAGTCTTGGCTTCGGGGTTGCGGACTGGGATGAGCGATCCATTGTGTGATGGGATGACTTGTGAGGAAAGGGAACTATCTTACATGGAGCCCGAACACCAAGACGGCTAGACTGGTTAGGAGCGTTTTGGAACTGAAGGCTCCACGCGGTCCTCGAAGCGAAAGACCCGAAGTCAAGCCAAGCACAGGTGGTCCCAGTCGCGGGCAGCCAGCAAGGGAGGTCCTTCCTCCAGCGCTTGCGGCGGGGGCTTTGGCGGCGCCTTGCTTTGCAGTGGGTGGTGCTTACTCCCGTTTTTTGTCGGACTTGATATGGATGGTTCGGGGTCTAAGCTCAGGATGGGCCTATTCAACCCTAGGCCCCCTGCTGTTCGCTGGATTCAGAAGCCCAGCAGATCCCAAAGCCCAAGACCAAGGTCTTGGCTGAAGTACTTGCGGCAGCTGCCCGTTTGCCTGTTCTGGAACTGGTTCTACCTCGTCGTGCTCCCAAATGTGCCCAGGGCATGTGGGGAGGGTTGGAGGGGTTCGTGCACGCCCAGCTCGCCGAAAAGCCTGGCTTAAGGTTGAGGGTTCTCGGGTTGAGGGCTCAACCTTTTCCAAGCCAATGCCCCCCCTGTATTCTGCATTCACCAGAAGCAAGTTGGCACGACTGATAACACGACTATAGACTATAAAGCTCGAAGCGGCGCACTTGGGGCACAGCGCGGCACAGGTGGTGTACAATCCCTACAACCATGCGTTTCCGTGGTTTGGGATTCGCTGGCACCATGTCCTGGATCTTGCAGCATCTTGCATCCTTCAGCCTTGCGCCGTTTGGTTTCGCTAGAACTCGGAGAAGTCCAGAAGCTCAGGTATCATGCCACAGGCAAGTGCATGCAACGGAAGTGGCGCTATTCCTTCCTGCTGGGAGATGTGGGGGCCGTGCTCTTCCAGGATTTCGATGACGACTGGCGCTCTGGAAGCTCGGCAGCTTAGGGGCGTGGTGCATTGGAGACTTGGAAACCCTAAACATCCCGGAGTCCCCAGCACCTGTGGTGGCGATGCGCCAGGCAGCGGCAACCCATGTGTGAACCTATGGAACTTCCAGCTGGAGATCCAGGCTCTCGCGTATACAAGCCGTCAACAATTCGTAAATGGTTGTAGCTTTGCGAAGTCCGGCGCTACCTGCTTTGCTGGTTTTGGTATAGGTCATCGCGTAGCCCTACAAATACGCCTGCCCTTGAAGGTCCCGGGGTCTTCACTGCTTGGAGTTGGCGCATGCCGTTTAGTCTCCTTTTTTATTGGCAGTTTTTGTAGGTTTCAATTGGCGTCGAGGCCTTCACCCTGACGACATCTATCCTTTGCTTGCCGCACGGCGCTATGCTGGCAACTGCTGTTGGCCTTCTTGCGTTCGGCTTCAGCGCCAGCGGCCCTGACATGGACGTCTGGTGGATCCACCACGCGCGAGGGGTTGTGCTGCAGGTACTGTTTCGCGGCATCCTTCATCTTTCCCAGTCAGAAGTTTTGGCCCCCGCCCCATAGCCCACACATCAGTCTTTTCGAAAGGGTCCAAATCAGCTGCTGCTTTCTAGCACACCTATTTGCCATTGCTTGATGTCTTTGGATGTGCCCGAATCCCTCCAAGAAGCCAACCCCCAAAACCGGGTGAAGCCACCTTGCACATCTCATGGTGTGTGATGGGACCTTGAGGTTCCTGCGCCTCTGCGGGCTCCCTCGGGCGTCCGTTCCTGCAGCGGCCGAGAATCTGCGCTGGCCAGGTGCAAGATTCGGGCTGATCCGGGCGTTTGGAAGGTCTTGGAAGTGTTGACGCTGTACCGAGTCAGTAAAGGGGCCTCATATTCGATCTCAATCCAAAGAAGGCCGTCCTTTGAGGTTTAAATTTGTAAGTATGGCGTGCCTGTGTGAGCCTGGCGCCCTTATTGATCAGTTGTCGCTCCAAAGCCAGACTCTTCGCGTGCCCGTGAGCGTGCGCTCTCTCGCTCTCTCTCTCTCTCTCTCCCTGTCCCTTCCCCTTCCCCTTCCCCTGCCCTGAACCATAGAGAACAGATGGCTGAACCCAACACAGGACTGCTCCTCGTCCTGGTTGCTGTTGCGCTGCATGGGGCCTTGCGTGGGGAGTGCCTGGGCTGAAGGGGTTCTTGGGCCTCAGGGCCCCAAACACAATGTTCCTCGCAACGCAAAGCAGTGGTCTATGATATATCGGCATTCCCCTACTTTAGTTCTTTTGTAGCCATGCGAACTCTATGTTCCCCGGCTATTTGGGCTTTATTTTTCATGTGGCACTCTGGGCCCAGGCTCCCGTTACATACGAAGTCGGGTTTGTATTAGTTTGTATTCCTAGTCTCCCTACAAGGACGGCTGACGTAGACACACGCCAGCATGGATACGGAACCATAGAACCCTCACCAGAATCAAGACCCTGGTCCATATGCTTCCTGTACGCGTGCTTTGGTCTGGCAGAGAAATGGAGAATTGGAAAGACTGGAAATTCAGTGAACAAGTAGAACAAAGAAAACATATCAGACAATAGTAAAACAAGGGGGAAAATGGAACAAAGTAAAAATGAAATTGAACCGCTGTCCTATGTTGGTTTCTATATTGCATCTCCTATTTCATGTCTATCTCTGTTCAAGCGTTCGGTCACGAGAACGCGTCACCGCCTAAGAGTTTGAGGACCTGTGTCTTCTAGAAAGCATCATTACTGATAGTAGATCGAGGCTTGCTTGCGTAGGATTCAGCCTCATAAATCTGGAGGTTCGTGCACGAACAAGCACCGCGGTCCTCCTAAACGTTTGTGTCACTATCGTTTTAGGAGACGTAGCAACAAGTGAGTATATCAGCAGGGTGCAAACGTTGAAGCGTTGAAGGACAGCTACGGGGGCACTTCCTTTTGTCGGTAGATGTGGTGTGGTGTATACAAGAAAGTCGGACAGTTACTGGGAAGATGGTGGGCTCATGCGCATGACCTGTTTCATGAGAATGCAAGGGGCACACCAGGTGCCTGGAGAGTCTCCGAAGGTCTCATCTATACTACTGTGGGGATCAGGTGCCTGGAGAATTTGAGAAGGAAGCGAGCAGTCATACTAGCTGTACGGTTTGACAGGTTCTATTGTAGATCGAACATGATAGCTTTTCGATTGGTCGACGCTCAGCTCCAGACCTAAAGTAGTGAGTATAAAGAAGAAGATGCTATACTATTTTGTGTTTCTCGTGCTTTTGTGCATATCGGAAGGGAACGCATTGTGGTTCAGCCTACCGCAGCATGTTTCTGCGAGGAGGGCAGCATTTCAGGCGTAAAACGGTGGATAACTGAGGGGGCGGCAAATATAGCATATGTACATATGTACATATATATATATATGTATACATACCAGAATGTCATCAGCTTGCTTGAGAGAAGGGTTTCCGCAACTTGAAAGGTTGCTCTGCAGAAGCCTCATGACGTGAGGTGAAAGTGGGCCTGAACCTTCCTCGCTGTGCACCCCAAGTCCTCTGCAGGTGGCTCAGCATGCTGCCAGAATCTTCGTTCCTGGAGCAGTGCCTAGCTGGCAGCCCAAGATGGACCGCAGAGCTTGCTGCTGCTAATGCTCGATGTGGTAGCTGGCGTCGATGGACTTGTTTTCCTATGTTGGCGGCGCCTGAGTTCATTCTTAGGCTGTTCGGCCGCCGTGCATTCGAAGACGGACCTATACCCACCACAAGACCCACAGAACTCGTAGGATGAAGCCCATGGGCAACCCCACAGAAAGCAACACAGTAGACATTAGAAAACCCATCGTCCAGGTCTCATTGCTTGCCTTTTGGAAGCCCGAATGGTTGAGGTTCGTGAGCCAGCACCAGATGCTTCTCACAGGCCGCTTGGACGGCACTTTACAATAATGCCCTCTCTTCTCGGGCTGTCTGATTTAAAAGCATAAGTACATGAATCTATATTTATATACATATACATGTATTTATATATACATTACATATATATATATATGTATATGTATATGTATATGTATATGTATATGTATATGTATATGTATATGTATATGTATATGTATATGTATATGTATATGTATATGTATATGTATACATATATGTATATGTATATGTATATGTATATGTATATGTATATGTATATGTATATGTGTATGTATATGTGTGTGTGTGTGTGTGTGTGTATGTATGTATGTATGTATGTATGTATGTATGTATGTATGTATGTATGTATGTATGTATGTATGTATGTATGTATGTATGTATGGTCACCTCCCCCCTCCCGCTGTGTGTTTTTGTGGTTGGGACCTATCGACTACGCCGTAGATAGCGATAACTTTCGTCTTTTTCAGGAGTTACGCTTGTTTATGACAGCATAAATATCTTTTATTATATATATGTACATCCGTATGACAGTATAGCTGTATCAGATCATGACAGCATTCTAAGATAGTACAGTAAATGTGCCAGCTAGCCAAGGAAATGAGACACTATCTAAGATAATGTTGCCTTCTTTCTATCACCATTGCGCTTCTGCTGGCTGATGCCTGGAACCTTCGCATCCTTGCGGTTCAGATGACGAGTCGGGAAAATCGGAAATTCGGTGCTGAATCGCCGGCGCGTGAGCGAAGAGAACTGACCCGAGTCGGAAACCTCAGAAAACGACGGTAAACCTTCTAGGGCAGCGAGGCAGTTGGAAAAACACCCTGGGGCAATGTTTGGCTGTTTTCTGACTCGCTTTCGTTAGGAGCCTGGGGTTTCTCGTCAATACCCTGAGGCACTTGGCAAGCCGCCCTGGCACTGGGCATCGCGATGCTTTGCGAAGGCTGCCGCGCAAGGCGGGGTGACATGAGACCAGCAGGTGTGATCCTCCAGCCTCAAGAGGGCCTCAAGGCCCATGAACTCCCGCGTCCCGCTTCCCAACCAGGAAATCCTCAAGCGGCCGGTGGTTGGCGATTCTGAGCCGCTTGGCCTTCGGCATCAACGTGGCCCACCCCTTCGTGTCCCTGGGCCTCGTCCAGGGCAGGGCGGGTGTTCCAGAGCAGCTCGTGTCGGATTTTTTGGAGAGCTTCCAGGCGGACCCCTGCGAAGGAGGGTAAGCTGTGTGGTTGGTTTTGCGAAGGTTAGATTAGGAGGCTTTCTGCCAGATTTCTGTGTTTTTGCAAAAGCATACGTTATGAAGCGTGACTGCTTCCTGAGATGTCTTTCGCGTTTTGCAAGGTCGCCGTTTTTGATTGCAAGGGGTCTTCCTGTTGTCGCTTCTTCTCTCAAGTAGCTGCTTGCGGGGTGCCTTTGTCATTCTTTTGCTGGCTGTGTCTGTCGCACACAGCTCAGCAGGCCTCGTTGTCCTGCAGGAGGTGAGTGAGGACAGGTTCTGACGAGCGTTTCAACATGCTACAAGCAGGGCGTCGGGCGCTGGGGGCGTCCCGCAAAGTGCAAGCATGCTCCATGCTCGCTTCCGGCCCTTGTTTCGCAAGCTATGACACGCATGACGCCCTTATCACGACTCTGGTGCTGAAGCGGGTGCTGTCTCAAGGCCTCCACAGTTTTTGGCACCTTCTGAGCCTGAGCTTTTCTTTGTTGAGCATGGCTAATTATGGCTACATCTTCTACATTTTTCCGGCCGAAATCTTTTCCCTATGCTCAACGCTCACGCAAGAGCGCACAACACCATCAAAAAGCACCTTCCGACAAAGACACCGAGGGTGAACTCAGTCTCAAAGTCGCAAAAAACTCTTCAGCCTTTCGAAGCTGCAAGCACAGTAGATTTCCTGGGCTGCAACATGACAAACAGACTGTGGCGAATGCGTTGCATCCCCGAAGCTCCTACATCTTATTTTGGCAGACCGTTACAAGACATCCCGCTTTGACTGGCGGAAGGAGCGCTGGTTACTGTGAGTTTGTGTTTGGCTTGTCTCCCCTCATGTTGACACGTAGAAGCTGTTTGGAGGGATCTTGAATGCAACCCTGGATCTCGGATTTTGCGGCTGAAATCTTGAGGCAGTTCTTCGTGGAGGCGCACAGCTCGATCAACGACCGTGTCTTCTCTTACTTCGCCTGGCCAAGCCAGCTGTACCACGGCAGCTTTTCGTGCAAGGTTTCAGTCTTGACATAGGGCCATAGGGTCCTAGTTTCAGGATCTGCCTCGCTTGAGTTTTCTTGCGCTGATAGTCGTCGGAACTCGCGAGTCGAACACTAGCTCAGAAAGACCCTGTCCCCACGGCCTGACCCCAAGGCCCCTCCATTGTCATCGCAACTTAGCCCCGAAACCCTAACCCTAAACTGCCCAAACGTTCCTCAAGTTGAGCTTGGTAGTTTAGTACCAGCATTTCCTCCTGCGTCGCCGCGCGTGGTTCGGCGGGTGGCAAAGAACAAAACGGCCTAGCACCACGCACACAGGATATTGGACAGGGCTGGCCTTCGGCACTGTGGGATAGTTACTTCGTGTGTGGTCACAAGCATCCCTTTTTTCTCCTGATGCGCCCTTCTGTGCGACGGCTAAGCGGGTAGCCCAAACTGTCAGGCAGGGTACAGTAGTCTCAGATGCCCCAGCGTAGGCTATGAAGCCCATTGAGGAGAGCGGCACTTAATGCACGGCTCGTCGGCTGTAGCCTAAGGGAGGCGCTGAGGAGCTGGGACTCTCTCCAACTAGGGTGTCGGGGGGCTCAACTCGTTGTGGATGACCTTAAAGCTTTGAGCTGAGTTCTGTATTATATGATGTGAGCTTCGCTGTCGGCTGTCACCTGAGAATTTAGATTGCATGTTCGACTGAGCTACCGCGACCTTCCGAAGCCTTGCTCGCCGTGCGCACGTGTGAGTTTCGAAGCCCTAAAAACCCCAACGCCCGGGCACAAACCTTCTTCTTTTGTGCCCCTGATCCTTGAACCCCAAAGGATGCTTATCTTCTTCTTGACGATGCTCGCCGCCGGCTTCGTCTTCCTCCTCGTGCAGCGGCCGTGGGCAATCCTGCGGCCCAGCAGCCACGGTGAGTTTTCGTCTTTCCCCACCCGATAATTGGCTGTTAGGTCTTAAGGAAAATGTGGCACGCATCGTGTGACGCGACGTGCTGACAGCAGGCAGTGCAGCTCTCAGGCAATACAACATTTAGGACAAAAGGCGGGCAACTGCTGGTGGGAAATGCGGCCTTTCCACGGAGCTGTTCTGGAAATGTTTCCGTAACAAGCACGCCGCGTACGTTAATAGGCAGGGCAGGGAGGCGGATGATAGCGCGGGCAACTGTACCGAAATGTTGCCTGACTCAGCAAGCCAGGGACGGTACCGCCATGTTAGTCCTTGCAGTCGGGCTTTAAGAACAGGGTGGGGATGTTTGAAGTGAGTGTGGTAGTTTTTTTCTTCTCAGGGTTTAGGGCAGTTTAGAGTGGTGTTGTCCCGTGTTGACATGGGCTTCAGGTGAGCAAGCTTGCAAGGCTTTCGCCGCTCAAGAGCCGCGGTAGAACTTCCATGGCTGTCAAGACCTGACCGTAGAGGTCCTAGGCAAGCCTCATGCTGAACTCAGATTAAATTTAGCTAGCTAATAAGAGTTCTCTTTTGGTATATCTAGTACATATATGACATAGTACATAGTACATGTAGCAATATGTGCGGTGTAAACGCGGCCTCAGACAGCGGCCAACACAGCTCTTCAATCAACAACGAGCGAGATCACGACTCCAAGTGGTTGATTGAGAAGCCCAATGCTTCAACCCTTACTGAAAGGCTGCACCACCTTGCGTCGTCTGCTGCCCGAGCACTGGCGACAGATGGGGCTGGCTTTGCTGAGAAGAGCGGTGGAGAAAAGATGCTCTGTGCGCCATTCTTGGCATTGGTTTGACTACAACATTTTTCGCACATGGCCTTCTCGTGACAAATGGGTGACGGGCAAGCCGCTACAGATCAGATTCTTAAATTTACCCTTCGCACCGACACTAGATGAGACAGCGACAAGCTTACGTTGCCGAACGCCCCAAACTTTGCCTTGTCCACGGCCCTTAACTCTCGAAGCACAGAGCGGGCAGGACGTGGACCCAGATGTAATTACGGGCTACAACATCAACAACTTCGACCTGCTGGGGTCTCGGGGTGTTAGCGCGGCTGTGCGGGACAGCTCTGGCACTCCAACCTTATCATGGGATTTCGTGTTCAGATGTGCAGAACCGTCGAGGGCAATGGTGGCATCACGTCTTGTGGTGGGTTAATTAACAGATTAAAACGAACGCCTGGGTTCGAAGTTCGAAGGGTCTCCATATCAAAGGGTGGCAGAATTATACACGGTTTTTCGAAAGAAGTGTCCGAGTATTGAGCTTGTCACGTCAGCCTCAGGTGCGACACGGAGTAGGGCTGAGTAGGTATGCAGCGCGATTAGCAGGAAAGGCTTTGCAGTGATACTCCCCTGCCCCAATAAGGAGAACCATCCCAATGCCACGGGACCCTAAACCGAACAACGTGCCGACCTTGTGCGAGAGTGAGCGACTAAGCCTAGAATGACCCGAGAAGCTCTGACCGACACTGAACCATCCATCTCACAAGCTGCTCGAAGCCGTTAAGCCGCCAAAGCCTGCTCCACCTGTCTGAGGCCGTATCCGCTGGATCGTGCAGAAACGATCCGCGGCCGAACTGCGAAATCGGGCAAGGAGGGTTTTTCGTGCCCTAAACCCATCCTTATAAACCTTAAAATCCAGTCACCGTTGCCACGTTCGTCGGATGCTTTGCACCGTCTGGTGAACAAGCATGCTGAGGAGCTCAAAGTGCATCTTTCTTCGATGGGAAAGTCTAAGATGTTTGTGCAACGCACGCATATGCTCCCACATGTTACACGAGCCACGGAGCAACGACGTTGCTTGACAGGTCTGTTGGCACCTAGTGGAATCTCATCGATGGTGTTTCATCCTGTCATTAGCTGCCACACGATGCGTTTGGCCTTCGTGTGTTGAATGTCTATGTCAACAAGGTTGCGGCGTTGTCTACACTCGGACGGCGATGGCAAAGAGGCATACAACATGTGGCTTGAGACAGTTGCCCAAATGGTGACTGCCCAGAAGGGATCCTGGAAAACAACGACACGGCCAAAGACGCATCGACAGGCCCCCCTGCCATCGGCATGGAACTGACGCTAAAGAGCTGACAGCTGGGCGCTGCCATCCTGCCTAATGCAGATGGACTGCCACACACTTTTCACGGTGCCCCTGAGGGCTTGAACCTCACTGGTGAAAGCAAAGAATGTTCGGGCTTTGGTATGAGGGCCCGCCCGTTCCAGCTAGGGTGCATGTAACATGGGTACACCCTGAACATGCGCTGTTTCGGACGCGCGATCCGATGCCGAACGTGTGCTGACCACAATCCCCCTCACCAAGTCAAGCAAACCCTGAATGAACCTTGCCCTGAACAACGATCTCTGGAGCCCTTCCTGCTTTCCTGGCAAGCATGGTCGAATTAGCTGAGGAAGGGAATCAGCATTGACTTTAGCAAGCTTGGGCGGCTTGCAAGCGACCGCTGCCTGTCGGCGGCAAGGATGGCGGCAAGGATTGTTGACCAAATCTTTGCGCATGTGGTGCTTTTCAAAGGGCGCATTAATTCAATTCAAATTGTAACAGTCACACCTTCATGCCTTGTCGGTTTAAGCTTGGAGCCATATGATGAGCTTTTTTCCGGTTTGTTGAGTGATCCCTGTAGGCTGCTTTGCAAGTAGTGATGAGCAGCTGTGTTCGGAGTGACGAGATCAAACGATCTTGCGGCTTCCAAGTACCAGCACCAAGGCCGGAAGCGCATCAACAACTTCAGTGGCCGCGAGACTATTGAGATCAACATCGATGGCAGGCTTTTGTGAGGGGTTGTTTTTTTCAGTCGACGTTGAGGGTCATGCAGTCGGGTTATGCGCTCAGGGCGTGAGGTACGCTTGTGAGGACCACTCAAGGCCAAAGGCCCCAGTTCTGACCTTGCCACTGCCAGGATCATCTTCGACATGCTGACGGTCATCCAGAAGGCCTGCTCTTCGGGTCGTCGGGTGTGTGTGTGTGTGTGTAGGAGTGTAGGATGTAAGGAGAAATTCAAAGGCCTGGTGAACTTCTGAGGGTTTGTTCAGCTTTAACCCAAGGCCCCTTCAAACCGGAACCTTTGGCCCATTCGATGTCTCCTTCCTGCCGTGCCGTGGCGTCACAGTGTCGCGTCGTGACGTCGCGTCGTGGGAATGTGTAGTTGATAGGATATATGGCTTGGGCTCGAGTTCCGTTGCAGGAGCAGAAGCTGAGCTCCTACTCGCTCAACGCCGTGTCGGCTGAGTTCTTGGGCGAGCAGAAGGAGGACTGCAAGGGCAGCCTCTGGCTGTCTGGCTGTGAGCCCTTCCTTCGCCCTCGAAGTACGAGCCGTTGGCTTCAAAAATCTCCCCAAAGTGTGAGCTTCGAGCTTGTGACGAAACTGGAAAGCTGCACCTGCCCACTTGCTGACCTTCATTGTCCGACCATGTCCGACCATACAATCCAGCAAAGTTGCAGCATCCGGAGATTGTCTCAAAGCCTCAGCTCCCAGAGTCTCCCCAAGAGTCCTGGCAGGATGTGCATCACAGCATGATTGGTGACCTCTTCGAAGGCAGTGCGGAAAGTCGGCGGCGTCTGGCCGTCTACTGCTTAAAGGACGCGGTGATGCTGACACTGGGCGATATGTGCTTGAAAGACCCACGAAGTGAAGGGTTGCTTGACATGAAGAAATGAGCTGTAGACCATGCCAGTGGAGTCCACTGCATCAAATTTCTGCTCTCGCCGCCACCATGTTTATCTCGTTCTTTTGCCACGCAGCATGACGCGCGGCATCGTGAAGCGTGCATGCAAGAGTCTTGACTGCGACTTTGCCTCTTGCGCCCAACTAGATCAAGCTTTGCACCCATAAGGCCAAGTAAAGCCTTCCCTGGAAGGATGCTTACCTGCCCATGCGCCTCATGGACAAGCTCCTGTGCATGCACCTGGGCCTGATATGCCGGTAAAAACCACCCCTAGCTCCGGGCATATGGGCTTCTGTGGGCTTCGTACAGCATCCTAGAAGAAGCTACAAACTCTCAGGTACAACTATGTCGAAATGGCTCGTGTCACAGGGACGCCGATCAACTTCCTCCTCAACCGTGGCCAGATGATCAAAGTTCAGACACATGGCTGAGCTTGGCGTAGCTTTGTGTGCAAAACCGTACAGCCGCGGAGGTAGAATCAGTCCTCGCGCTGTCCTACCCTTACGTGTGCGCTGGGTACCCTAGCTGAGGTCGCAGCTACTGCGCAAAGCTGGGCAGTGTGGCTTCGTGATGCCGACGCTTCCGACGCCGTGACGGATTCAAATCCAAGTGGCTTAAGTTGAGTGCTTTTGAAGAATGCTGAAATTCCTCAGGTTTGCAAATACCCAAGCAAAAGCCAATGTAGCTGGTACGGCTGGTTGCTGTCGGTGCCGTCTGCGTTGTTCTTGCAGAAGCAGAGACCTCAAGGGCTTCGGACTCGTTTGCAGGTTTAGAGGTATGTCTGGGCTCGATGGCGGCAGGGTGAGGGCTTACATCAAACCAGTGACCTGACAACCATGCGGACGGATGTACACAACTCACAGCTACTAACCGTGCCAAGTTGGCCCAAGACGCCAGCCAGCTCTGTCTGCGACTTCACAGGAAAGGTAGGCGACCTCAGGCCCCAATTCGACCACTTGCATCTAGCCACCTTACCTCCAAAAGCGTCAACGGGTCGAAGTCTAAAGCTCCTCAGGAAGACCGAGACCTCGAATGACAAGTTTGATGGCGCGACGGTCCTGGACCCGCGTCAAGGAGCGTCAAAACCCTGAGAAAAAAACAGCCTTGAACCGATGGCATGCTAGGCCGAAAGTACTGTATGGCCTTAAAGCCCCTTCCCCGCTCCCGAACGATCTCCTGCCAGCAGCATGCTAGGATTCTATCCGCAGCCCATTGCCACACTGGACTTTGCGTCCCTGCAGCCCGGCTGTAGCCCAGGTTTCTGGTGTCGGGGTGTTTGTGCCTGCGACCGTAGGCCAAAAAGTGCAAGTTCAGCATTTCCTTTGCCCAGCAGTCAAAACAGGGAAACAGGGTACGTGCATTCATGCATTGATAAGACGCATACAGGGTAATGTGCAGCACGATCTTCCGTCTGCACAGGGCAACAGAGCCCCCCTTCAACTTACAGCCTCCCCCAAACTTGAGTGCATCCAAAGTCCTTCGCGAGGGGGGGGAGACCCTTGCTGGACCCTTGCAGAGGCATCACAGGCTCCCAGCTCTTCCTGGCTAGTTCACTGTCGGTACTGACATCACTTTGACTGAAAAATGCAAAGGGTGGCTGAGATTGAAGGCCAGGCTTGGCCTGTGAAGCTTGTGGGGCCACCTTGCGGGGGCGCCTTGTGTGTGGCACCCCTTGAGCTTAGGTATCCTTCCATTATGATGGCGCACAACCTGTGCTATTGCACCCTCCTGAAGCCAGAGCAGGCACGGCATCCCTAAAGCAGGGGCTCAGGAGGGCTCAGGAGGGCTCAGGAGGGCTCAGAAAGAACATTTGAGGAGAAGCCCTCCCCGCGTGACCAGAATCCCAATGCACACCCCAATCGGAAGCAGTCTTGGCGGTCTTGATGGCTGTAGTGGTGCGCCGGACCAGGCCCGGGATCTTCAGCCGGAGGAGTACACCAAGACGCCCAACGGCTGCCACCCTTCGGCAGATGGATGGGAAAGCGTGCTTTAAGTCAACTGAGGAGTAGCTTCTTTCTGGGAGTGTGGCCCAGCAATGGCATTTGTTCCCCGGGACGCATTTGAATTAGTTGAGTTTCCGTCGGGTCGCTGGTGCCCTGGGTTCACCAATCACACTTCTGTATCAAATCCTAAGAGAGAGCCAGAGCATGCTCGGGAGTGGAGCAGGCTATTTCCTGAAGAGCTCTCGCCGACGTGGACTGCTCCCCATGATCCTGGAGGCCGATGGCGTCACGCCGACATATTATTTGTTTTTGTGGGAACGGCACGAGGGCACAGAGCTTACGGGAATGACGGGTCGTTTCTTCATATCTGGATACCAGCTTTGGATTTCAAACCTTCTAGAGTTATACAAAGCCCGGTCTTGTTGGCCCTGTCCATCTGCAAGCAGTGCAGCGGTTCAGCCCTTGTCAACTCATGGCTATATACACGAAGGTGAAACCCGCGTCCATGTTTCTGAGAGGGGTTCGATGGCCCAAACCTGAAGCAAGCCTGGACTCTTTGACACAGGAGCTGCTGGCAGCGAGAAAGCGCGCGAAGAAGGCCCACACTAGAAGCGTTTGGGCTCCTAAGATAGGGTTTTGCGTTTGGGCATTGTTCATGAGCTCCCTCTTCGGGCTTAAGATAGGGTGTACCTCCCAAAAGTCGCTTGCCAGCAACTTTTCCGTGCTAGTGATGCTGTGAGTCTGTGTTCTGGTTTGAAGGCTTGATGCCAACTGAGTGAGGGGGGTGTGAGCCAGCACGAACGACGTACAGAGAGAGGGATTCAATTTCGCATCACCAGCGCGCGAGGGCTATGGCGAACTGCCATGCCCCGCAGGCGCAGCAGCAGAAGAAGAAGAAGAAGAAGAAGAAGAAGAAGAAGAAGAAGAAGAAGAAGAAGAAGAAGAAGAAGAAGAAGAAGAAGAAGAAGAAGAAGAAGAAGAAGAAGACGACGAAGAAGAAGAAGAAGAAGAAGAAGAAGAAGAAGAAGAAGAAGAAGAAGAAGAAGAAGAAGAAGCAGAAGCAGAAGCAGAAGCAGAAGCAGAAGCAGAAGCAGAAGCAGAAGCAGAAGCAGAAGCAGAAGCAGAAGCAGAAGCAGAAGCAGAAGCAGAAGCAGAAGCAGCAGCAGCAGCAGAAGCAGAAGCAGAAGCAGAAGCAGAAGCAGAAGCAGAAGCAGAAGCAGAAGCAGAAGCAGAAGCAGAAGCAGAAGCAGAAGCAGAAGCAGAAGCAGAAGCAGAAGCAGAAGCAGAAGCAGAAGCAGAAGCAGAAGCAGAAGCAGAAGCAGAAGCAGAAGCAGAAGCAGAAGCAGAAGCAGAAGCAGAAGCAGAAGCAGAAGCAGAAGCAGAAGCAGAAGCAGAAGCAGAAGCAGAAGCAGAAGCAGAAGCAGAAGCAGAAGCAGAAGCAGCAGCAGAAGCAGAAGCAGAAGCAGAAGCAGAAGCAGAAGCAGAAGCAGAAGCAGAAGCAGAAGCAGAAGCAGAAGCAGAAGCAGAAGCAGAAGCAGAAGCAGAAGCAGAAGCAGAAGCAGAAGCAGAAGCAGAAGCAGAATAATAAGACGAAGACGAAGAAGAAGAACAATAAGAAGAAGAAGAGAGGGGTTCGAGCCTCAGCCCCAAAACCAGTATGCGGGTGCCAAGAAAAGGGTGTGTGAGGCAACCTGAGAGAGGCAGGGAGTTTGCACTGAGTGAGGCAGAGAGCCATTCGAAACCCACTACAAGATCGTGTGACCGAGCCTGTTCTTTCAGCGGTTTTGATTTCCTTCGTCACTTGCCCGCAAGGCTATGGCGGAAGAGAGCGATCCTTTAACCAAGTCCGTCCTGAATGGGCGACAGCGCGGAGCCTAGACAGCCCACAAGTCGTGTAGTCGTGTAGGGCTTGAGTATGGGGCTTGAAGTTTGGAGGAGGGCTTGGAGGTGTGAGGTGTGAATGAAGTATATGGGGGTTGCCCAGCCTGGATTCAAAAGGCTTCGTTCGGTGGCTTGCGACAGGCTGGCGCTGAAGATCTCGGCGAACTCTGTGTATGGCTTCACAGGCAAGGTTCAAAGACGTAGCGTTTCAAGTCCTTGTCTGAGGGGCTTCCCTCAGTGGAGCAAGGTGCCGATGGGTGGAAGGGGTCATGTATCTTTCGAAGTTCAGCACCTGGCTTCTTCAACGTGGCGAAGTGCAAGCTGCTTCAAAGACAGACCAGCAGGTCATTAGAACATGTACCATTATTTCGCAATCCCAATCCTGAATCGAATATTTGGATGCCTGAACAACTACCGACCACTCGACGACCATGCTAGCCCATCGATCTTTGAATCTCCCAATCTTCCTTGAATCGCTTGGTCTCTCACTCTTCCATTGGTGCAGCCTGAATCTGTCAGCGTTCGGGGGGCTCCCATTGTGAATTCTGTTTCGGAACTTGAGGTTTCCTTCCGATTTCCGTGCAGCACTGCAGAGCCTTCAGTCTCCCACCCCAAGCACCAGAGTGCAGGCGCCACGGTTGGAGTGCTGCCCTGCCTGGACATTTCGTCCTCAGTGCCGCAGCCGGAGTTGGCACTGATAGGAAAGCAGCCAGCTGTGGATTCTGTCATGGGTTGGGGCGGCAGGGGGAGTTGGCAGGGTTAAAAAGCCTGCAGCCTCCCGTGGCCGCCGGCGTAGGGGCTTAGGATGATGTTTCAAAAGGAAGCTGGGTGTGGCTCGAAATTGCATCTTTTGCAGGAGGCATTTTGCTATTATCAATTAGTATTGCTACTGCTCTCATGGTCATGATAACGATCATGATTCTTGCTTTTTTCAATTTTTCTATTGCCGCTGCTTCAGTTGTGGGCTTGGGGGCTTGTTCATGGTCTTCAACGGTTGTCAATCCGATCCTCATGAAAGCCCAATTCCAAGAGTTCTGACGGCTGTCCTAGTCAGGTGACCGCCTTTGGTCGCACGATGATTGAGCACACCAAGCAGATGGTTCAGGTATCCCATTTGTGTTTATGCGCAGGTTAACGACTCCTCAATGGTTGCGACAGTTCCAGCTCAAGACCTGCTACATGAATTTGAGCTTTCTGTTGGGATGACAGTGCGACGCCTCTGGAGCCCTGGCACAGGACAATTTCTGCATTGAGAAGGGCTACGCGCATGATGCTGAAGTGATCTATGGCGACACGGACTCCGTTCCTGGGCTGCAGGAGCAGAGAGGCGAAAGGGGCCTGCGCCCAATGTTCAGGACTTCAACCAGACTGATGATGTACTCCGCTTGTTTGTTTTTTTAATTTAATCTGGCGGGACACAGCTCGAGAAAGGTCGTGGTTGCTGAGCGAAACCTTTGGTTTCGATACGCATCGGCTTGATCAATGACATCTCGGGACCCCACAGTGCCAAAATCTGGGCCAGCGACAACAGTCTCCGATCCCTGTCCCGAAAGCCCCCTGATGCCCCAAGCGACATAAAGTGACACAACTCAAAGGCCTTCAAGAAGCCGGAATCCTGCCCACCCAACCCGATCAACGCAGATGAGGTCATGGTTAAGTTTGGTGTCGACGACATCGCCGAGGCCATGCGCTTGGGCCAGCAGGCCGCGGTGCCTTGGCGGCAGAAGCTTTGCTAAGGTTTTTGCTGTTGGTTTGGGATAGGGCCGGGGCCGACTTCATTGCCACTTTGGAGCATGAGGGGGCAGTGCCGGTGCACTCGTAGGGAGCTTGAGGGGTTCCGTGGGCAGACTTCCCGAGCGCGGCTCGCCAGCCAGGAGCGCATTGGCATGCGCATGGATTGATTGATTGATTCAGTGACTCTGTCTGTCTGCCTGCCTGCCGGTCTGCCTATCTGTCTGTCTGTGATTATTGTGGTGATGGTGGTGGTGGTGATGATGACGGTGATTGTGATGGTGATCATGATGGTTGTCATGAGGAGGATGAGGAGGATGTGGATGGTGGCGGGGCCAAATGATGATGATGACGATGATGTTCCGGGTTCGCCCTGCAATGATGGTTCCTGCCCATGCGTGTGTGCCCATTCTAAGACTCCGTAACATCAACCCAGAGGATGTGGCGCTGGGGCATGCTGGGGCATAGAAGTGTGAATGTGAAGATCAGGCATGAGTCAAGAATGTTAGGCCCGGACGGACCAAGAACATTAGACGCAGGGATCGGGGAAGGGGACGATCTGATGAATTTAGGTGCTGGAATTCCCTTTTTTCAAAAAATATAAAGATACATGAGGAGCATGTCCCGAGGACATGGTCTCCGCGACGTTTGCCAAGCCAATCAAGCTGGAGCTGCTTGTACACAGCGAAATGGCGGTTGGGGGGCTTTTCTGGTATTTGGGGCGGTTTTAGGTGCGGGTGCTTGTTTAGTCACTGGTTGTTGGAGGATACTTGAACTGGGGCTCTAAGAAAGTGTCCAAAGGCTGCCAGATTCTTAGCTCTTTCCGAAGGCATGCTGGGATATCCTCTTTATTCCTCTTCTTCTTTCCTCTTTTCCTCTTTCCTGATGTCAATGCGCATGGCAGCAAGCGGACCTGTCCGAAATCTTTGCAGCAGGAGGCGTGTCGTCCTTATCTATTAGCTATACTTGTTTACACGGGAACGGGGCCACAGCATCAGCTTTGCCATGAAGTTGCTCGTTCTCCGTGGAAGGTTCATACCTCACTTAGGGCCGCTGGAGACACCCCATCGGCGAATAAGCCGCCGCGTCGACTTGGGTGAATCCCAGAAGCTACCTGCGCCCCATACACTCTGGCTCAAACCGTTTTGGGTCGAGTCGACCAGTTTGAATATCGTGTCTCGAGCCCAGCCTTCGCTTTTTTCCATTCGTCACCATGGTGGCCCGTGAGGGACGCAGGTGCCGAGGAGGCCGTTGAAGAAGTTCCCTTGTATGAGGCCCCACGGATCGGCAAAAAAGCCCCCGTTGCGTTGCGAGCGCCCACAGGGGTGTTGCCCCACTTGCCCCACTTGCCCCACTTGCCCCACTTGCCCCACTTGCCCCACTTGCCCCACTTGCCCCACTTCGTGGTGAAAGAGAGGAGGCACATCTGCAGGGAACAAGCGGGGCTGGCGGGGCGGTCGGGCAAGTGCCACATATCGGTTTCCGCTGCAGGACCAGACCAAGTGGGGCAATCGGGGCAAGTGGCAGAGATCAAGCGGTGCTGGTCTGCCCATGTTGAGCTAACATTGTTCAAAACTGCAAATGACATCCGCGTGCTTCTCGACATGCTGTGCAGCCGTCTGCGCGGCAACACACTTGCCACAGGCGTCGTGTCTTGTCGGCAGACCCTGACATCCTCAAGCCTGTCGGGAGCTGGCACTTTCCGCTACTGCTACAGGTAGTGGCAGGTGAATTTCAGAGTCTAGAGAGACAGTGAGTCGGCATGCCTCGCCTGAGTGTGGGCGAGTACACCTTGAACCTAAATGGCCCTAAACCCCGAACATCCCCGAACCATCCTAAATCCAATGTTTCCCTTGCCTCAGCCAAAGCTCACTAGGTCGTCAACTGTGAAGCGCAGGACCAAACCAGCCCGACGTACCTCCTAGATGAATTGGCGGTTGCATGCCAGATTTGCCTGAGTCACCCAGAGGTTTGAGAAAGTGTACTGCCCGTACCTGCTCATGAACAAGAAGTGCCGTCCCCGGTCGTCTTGCACAATGATATCAATACTGGCGGGAGTCGCATCAGACCGTCATGGACTTTGTGATTTACGAGGGCTAGACGGCCGCCTACCTAGGTGCAACCTCTTCTGGGTTTTGCTTGCCTTGTGCTCTTCTAGCGAATGGGTCTGCAGTCATCGAGGTGATAGTTCCCGGCCGCTGTCTGGTCCATCAAGAGCCTTTCGCTCTAGTCAGAAACGCACAACCAGGGATGAAGATTGTGAGGACATGGTGATCGTACATGCAAAAAGCCCGTCGTGTTCAGAGCTAGAGGCGCTATGCCGGCCTCTACTGGACAAACCCGGACAAGTACGACAAGCTGGATGCAAAAGGGATCGAGACAGTTCGGCGCGACAACTGATTCTTGGCTGCGGCAAAGCGTTTCAGGGTTGGAAGCTCGCGATCGTGTAGTACAAAACCGGATGCAAGGTTCCTTGCCCGCAAAAGGCACAGGGTACAACGCCGATCATGTCTGACTATCGATTGCCACGCCTGTTCAAATCTTATGATGAGAAATCCCTGGCAGCCGTTTTGACGCCCGATGCCTGACAACACGAAGCTGTTGAACAGCCAGCTGCCAAAGTATTTGCGCTGCATGCTTTTCGTGCGGTTTTGTTGCTTTGCCATTTGCCAGAGGCGGCCTTGCTCGACACTTGGTGGACATGTCGCTGCGTACCATTCTGATCGACAAGTCGGTGCCGAAGGCCCCTGCCTTCCCCTAAATCCTAAACTCTGCCACCTATGCGGGAGCGAAAACAATCCTAAACTCCACACCCGCCGGCTTGTGATGATGATGCGTTTGTGTTGATGTTGTACTGGCTTGTTGAAGGAGTGCGGAGTCTGGTCACACACACACAGAGACGCGCAAGCTGGAGTTCCGACGGTTTCGATTTCTGTGTGTTTGTATTGCAACTTTGGATTGAGTGGTGGGGTTTAGGGGGTTGCGAACAGACAGGCCACTGAAACCCATCCGAAGTTTTCAGAATCTTCGACTTAAAAACCTAGCAAAGAGGCAATTGAGCTGGTGCAGAAGGCTGTGGGAGCCTCAGCTGGCAGCAAACCGTTCGGCTCAGGGTCTTTCATGGCCTTGGGCATCTGGAGAGAGGGGCAGAGAGAGAAAATGAGAGGCTCAAACCTCAACATGTTAACTGGAGACTCGGACCTGACCCAATTGTCGTTCGGAGAGAACTGGTAGATCACTCCAGGCTTGGGCGACTTATCAGTCAACTTACAAGTGGACTTATGAGTCGCTATTGTAAGGTTAAGCACTTGCCAATCACTTTTGCAAGTGAGAGTTCTCACTTGCAATTGCTCTTAACCCACTTGTTTCCCGACTTAGAAGTGGCCACCATATGAAGCAAGGTAGGAATGAAGGTAGGGATCACTGAGATGCGTCTTTTGTCACACTGTCTTCCGAAGCTTGTCGCCTGGTTTTTGAATTCTTGTGGAGGAAGCTGGCCTCTAAGTTCGCGAGCATCTTGCGTGTGGAGGTTGATGAAAGTTGAACACGGCCAGGCGAGCATTTCCCTGTTCTACTTGTTTGGCCCCCAACTACTCTGTACTCGTTGCTCTGAATGGAGAAGTTTCTCGGGATGGTCGGTGCTCTCTCTCTCTCTCTCTTTCTCGTTTGTCTCTTTTTGTTCAGACTGATTAACCTCATCGTGCCACTGCTCTGTTGCCATGTGCTTGCTTTTCTTTGGCCACCTGAAATAACTGCCAATGATGGCGTCACTTGTGCCTTTCCTCAGAGGTGCGCCGCCCTCACAAGCAGTGATTCGAAATTGTCGTATTTCATTTGGTTTCCTTTGGTTTCCATGGCTTCCTCTGCACCCATGTGTTGCATTTGACTTTCTTTGCATTGCGAGGCTCGATTTGCCCCAGTCCCCGAGCCGGGCATCCGGCCCCGCAGTAGGTCTCTGACCTCTTGCAGAACAAGATCGACCTGTCCCTCCTGGTCATCACAAAGCCGCTTGGGAGCATTCAACCTGCTAGACATCATCTGCTTTTCGGCCAACTCCGTAAGTGACTGAGTTCTTCTTGATCTTGAGCCTCAACCCTGAGGTCCTTGGGCAAGGGCGCACATGCCGAGGACTCCGGGGGGGGGGGGGGGGGGTTGAGGTGGGTTCCCAGAGGTTCCCATTGAATGGGGCATGCGTCGAGGCGTCGCTGGGGGTTTCCCTTGAAGGTTCAGCAGGGCACGACACTCCCAAAAGCCGAAAGCCCTTGCAGTTCCACCTTCTCTGCCGGGTGTGCACAAGGACTACAGTGCTAAGCAGGCCCACGTGGAGCTGGCGGAGCGGATGCGAAAGTGAGGGTCTTGGTTCTCTTCTCCAGGGCACCTGATCATACGTGACCCATTGCAGTCTTTGTCTCTCAGCGTCTGGATGGGTTGGTCTTTGTGGGTGGGGTGTCTCTGTCTCTCGGCCTCTCGGTCTCTCGGCCTCTCTGCCTCTACATCTCTTTCTCTCTGTGTTTGAAGTTTATTCGCAGCGTGTTGCACACTGCACAGGCTTAAGCTCCAACGTTCGACTTGTCTAGGCACACTGTTTAATCTTCTTGCAGAGCGCTAATTGCTGGCTTTCCTCGTGCAGCGCAATTGCGGGAACGGGGCCGCAAAGTTGGCCAGGGTGGAGGAGTGGTCTTGCTCGGGCTTTGTCTTTCGGGCATCAAGGGGGTTGAAGTTCAAGCTGTCTCAGCCACCGGCCTGTTTTTGTGAGGTCAGCACATACTTTCGTCACCGTGTGATATTGACAGCTTGGGTGGACAATGGAATATAATTCTAAATTTACAGTAGTGAGGAAGCAACGCGCCCACACGGCAAAGCCACACCAATGGTCAGGGAGCAAACAATCGAAACCAGCTTTGAAAGCCAGCTTCAGAGCCACAGGCGCGACCCCACGACTGCGCCAGGCAGTGGAGATCGCGTGCCTCGGCACATGAGGGACTTTCCTCGGCCGAAGCATCGCTAAGGTGTTTGGGGGTTGCATCTCTCTCGGGGTTGAGGGAAGGCTGCGAGCATGAGTTGGGACTTGCGCAGCTTCAGGTGCCCTACGTCATTTGCGCTGGTGCGAAGAATGCAAAGGCAGGGTCAGAGGAATCCATAGATCTCGATCGTTGAAGAGTGAAGCCTCGTTTGGCATGAACTGCTTTGTTAGGGTAGTTAAAGGGGTGTTGTTGGGATATTCTCCCTTATACTAACAGTCCTCAATTGGGCTTATAATCGGGTGTACTAAAATCCCTATTAAGGACTGTTCGTATCAGGGGGAACATCCGAGGGGTGTTGTTCTAAGGGGGTTCTCGCGCGCAAGGCCTATGAGCGGTCCGAGGACCCACTGTACGCGCTCGAGCTCCTTGGACTCCATGTTTGGCTGGTTTGTATTTTTAAACCACTCAGCTCCCAAAATCTGGAGCCATGTTTCTTGCTGGTCTGAAAAAGGGCCTAGACCTCGTATGCTATCCCGCCAGATCATAGGTCCAGTGCTGGGATTGTAGCTTGAAGCAGTTTTCTCTGCCTTGGCTTAAGGGTCGCGTTCAGGCATGCTTCTTTCTGGTTTCAGGATTTTGCATTTCACGGGCTTGAGTGCCTCATGTTTGGGATTCATCAGCCTTGTCGCATGTTTGCCGTATGTACCACCACGCGGCGCACCAACAGCTAGCCCTGACCTGCCGCCAGGGTTGGCGTATGCCGGTTTACTTTTGCCTCGAGTTCTACTTTTGCCTTGAGTGCGTCATCGCTCTTCCTGCTCTCAGATTGCGTTAATTAGTATGGAGCCAGTAGCTAAGCCCGTTCAACAGGTCGTTCTCGAGTCGAACATGCCTAGAACGAACTAAGCTGTGGCCCACACAGGAACAACAAGTCCATCGATGCCGGCTACTACATCGAGCATCAGCTGCAGCTCCCTCTCCTGCGTATCTTTGGGCCCATCATGGGCCGCTTGGGGCATTGGAGCTTTGTCACTCTGGCACTCGGGCGTTGGCGCTTGCGGGCGTTGGGGTAACCATCCTCAACCCTAAAACCCTGAAATCCGAAAACCTTGCCGTTTTGGTTTGGTGAAACTGAACCTCCCATCGCAGAGCTGGGAAGAACAGAGAGCCCAAACTTCGAGAGGCATGCTACGGGCGTAATTCTGCAATCGGCACTCCCCTTTTAGAAAGTCTTGCTCTGCGTGTTTTTCTTGCTTCTTGTGCATGTTGTACTTATCACTGGGCGACGAACCTTTTTTTGCATAATCCTCGGACCTTTTTGGACAGATTTCCATCCAAGCGCAACGCCCCAGGTAACGACGACAAGGCACAGTCCGTGCGCCTTGCCCTATGGTGAAAGAAAGTTTCGCAAGTTTTAGTGTTGCACAGTGCAAGAGCGTAGATGCCCTTCCACTTCGTTTCGATAGCTTTGCCAAAGGCTTTGCCCTTGCACTGCCCAGTGCTATCCAGTGTTTTTGAGATTAGTGATCTTACCCAGCAGAGTCTTCTCAATTCAGGGTACGAGCTTGCTTGACAGACGCCGGCTGCATGGTGAGGGGTTGCAGGTGCGCAGTGTAGGTCGTAGAACGAAGAGACCGAAATTACCAGGGCTCCAGGGCTCCGGCTTTGTAGTCCTTCTGAGGTTCAGCGGCTTGGGTTGGGAAGTGCTTAGGGGTCTGTGGTTTGCGAAAGGCGTGTTCCGCTAAATGCTCCAGGGTTTGAGTGAGTCGCAACCTGCCTGTTGTGCTGATGCACGCACATGCACGCACCTTCCATGGGAGCCCGATGGTCCGAAAGCCCCAGGCTCTTCAACGGGGACCACACCCGCAAAGTTCACACACCCACACAGGAAGGCAGGGAACCCCGCGAGCATGTCCGTAGCTTTGAGAAGTGCCGCGACCCTCAACCCGAAACCTGCTTAGCCCATCTTCGCCCTCTCACCAACAACAGCTTCCAGCAGTACTAGCCACAGGTCGAACAATATTTAGTGCTAACCTAAACTCTGGTTGCCACAAGTTGACTGTTTATGGGTCTTCTGTTTTGGGCGTTCGGGATGGTTGGCCATGTGAGCAATGCCGCACAGTTGCGCCTGTCTAGAAAGATCCCGAGAAGGGCCGTGCAATCTGGGGTTGTAGTGTTGTAAGGCCAACATCCCTTAAATCACAATTGTTTCCAAGATCCATGCTAAACTCTAGCAGGTGTACCCGGTACCCCTTCCGCGCTCAGTAGCTTTCCTGATTCTTGAACTCGCCTGCAGCCGATTGAGGGTTACAACCCAGAGTAGTCCAAGTGAACTCCCTCAGCTGCTCCGGTAGGTGGGGCCTTGGCGAAGTTTGTCACGAAAAGCTTGCGCTGCAAGGGGTGTAAGGCGGCCGGCGGCTTCAATCGGGAGTTCAAGTTTTGGGATTGCAGTCGTTTTGTTTTTCCAGTCCGCGCCTGCTGCAGGACGTGGGGTTTGGGGCGGGTCGGGTCCCAGTTGTGACACAGTTACCTAATTGTGACACGTGCCCAACACCCCGAAGTCCCCGCTGCAGGCAGTGATAAAGCAGGGGATGCTTTGTGAACATTGCCAGAAGGAGAAAGCAGCCGAGGCGCGGATTCAAGGTGTGGGGGTTCCTGAAGGAGAGATCGCGATTAAGGGGAAGCAAAAGCACCACAGTCACTTTTGTGTTTCTGGTTTCCTACTAAGTTACTAAAAGGGAGGTCACTTGGGCTGGAAGCTCCTTGCCATGCCACAGGTGGTTGTCGGCCAGATGCAGGACTTCCAGCAGAAGGCCCGGGAGATTCCGAGCTTGCATACTGTGCTACCACATGCTATGCTACTAGCTCCTCGCACACCATCCTTACAGATAGGTCGCTATCCTGAGCCAAACAAACAAGAACCTTGAGATGCTTGGTGTATCTGTGTGCTTGGCGTTGTGGTGGGTAGGCAAGGTAGAAGAGACTCAGCCCCGGATGATGTAGCCCTTGCATCTCACAGCTTCGCATCCAGCACAGCCGCTGCATTTGCCCAGCTTTGCAATGCTTACACGTACCTCAAGACTTTGGCGGTCATTACTACTAAAGATCTCCTTCGCCCTGGCTCAGGAGCAGGAGTACAATCGTTTGTGGACGCAGTGCCAGCGTTGCCAAGGAGCGCCGCCTCGCGAATTAGCTTCAAGCGCAAAGCCCAAACGTCTCTCCACCACCACCAGCATAGAGAAGCCGGTTCAAGCATCCTGACCAAAAGACCCCGGCAGAGTTCCGATGGCAGAACATGTTCTGCCCCGCATGTTCTGTGCTCTTGTGTGGCTTCAGTGGCTGCAGGGGTGCGAGCTTGTGCGTACGAAGCGAAGAGGTAGGGGATAGGAATACGAAGGAAACAGACGGGCCTTTGAAACCCGAAAGGAAGCTTGCTGGAGCCCGTTATTTGCTCCAATCGGGACTGCGACATCTTCTACCGGCGGGCCAAGGCCAGGTCTGAACTGCGGAGCTCAATTCAGGGTTTTCAGGCTCCGCGGATCAGTTGAAGCACCAGGATGATGCCAGGATGACGATGGAGGGCGAGCATTCACGAGGGTTAGAATCCAAATCTCACACCCCAATTGTTCTTCTTGGCAACTGCAACTCTGACATCGAGCATTCAGGCCCTGAATGTCCCTTGGACAGGGCGGAAGAGTACAGTAGCAGGACCACGAAGGGTTGGTTAGCGGTATGAGGCTCGGAAGCCTCTTTGAGTTCTGGAAATCCAAAACTCAGCCTCACTTCGCCATCAAAACCCGAATCCAAGCGGCCCGACCTTTAAGATCCCAAGCACTTCTTGTCGACTTCAGCTGCCAGGCCAGGAAGGATGCCAGGGCCTCGTCTTGGGCTCCGGGGTCCTCGACAAGGGAGTTTGGGAGTTCAGGAATTCAGCGCAGGCTTCGGAATGAGGACTCCGAGAGCATGCGCAGCAAAAATTGAAGCATCGTTTGGAGCTAGCTACCCGTCTGTTTCTTGGGAGGGTGGCTGCAAAAGCCACGGTCGCCAGTAGTGGGGCTCGGAGCCTCAAGCTTCGGCCTCCCTCTTGCAGGTTTTCGATTTCTCTCTCAGCTTGTGGAAGCTGAGCTTGCTTCGCCCCCAAGATGAGGCAAGAAGCAGGTCTGGTCCCGACAGCCCAAGCATAGAAGCTCACGCAGAATTTATATTTTTACAAGAATCCCAGCCCCGAGAACCTGGGACTCTCTCGGACACCACAGGTGCAGCTGGCGCAGGAGCAGCTGAGCCGCTTGAAGCTGGACTGGTGAGACTGAGGTGGGATGTCTGTATGTTGTGGCCGTGCGACCCTAAGTCTCACTAAATCCCTAATGCCTTGGAGCTCTGGAGAGACAGCGCTAACTTGGGCAAGGGTTTGATCACAGGGCATGTTGCTTTTGAATCTTGCATCGGGCACAGGGCTGTGGGCGGCCTCTGGTTTTTGTGCACGCAGTTCTGCGGGTAGCCAGGTTGCTAGGCAGACCCAGGATGCAAATTCGGGGGGGGGGGGGGGGGGGGGATTGAGCTCTTCATGTCCGCCGCGCCGCAGCCACTCTTCCATCTAGCAATCAGCGTTTTTGCTAGTCTTCCCAGCAACGGAAGAAGCATTCGATCGAGCGCCATGTGTGGTGCTACAAGAGGCTTTGCCCTGCTTTGCGCCCTGGGTCTCGTGCGCCCTGGCAGTTTTACTCGTATCAAGGTCGTCTTGTTTCCTCCTGTACATTGTGTTTTCTCGTGGGTGGTAGAGGCCGGCTGTCACTTCGAGACAAACCCGAGACCGTGTCCGTGTTTGATCATACGTCCGCGTCTGCAGGGAGCAATCCGAGGTGCACGCATGCCACGGATCTGCCCGAGTCTTCCACACTCACGGCGGACGACGAGTGCATCGGCAGCTTGTCTGCTGAAGCTTTCAGATTCAGGGCGAGATGTCACGTTTGAAGTATGTCTGGAGGGAAGACTGTCAGGCCTCTCCGTCTTCCGTACAGGGAAGCCTGACAGCCAGGTTTAAGTGACTTGATAAGCCTACCGTAGCGTGATGCGAGAACGGACGAAAACTGCATGGCGGACCATGACTTTGGAATTAGGGCTGAGACGACGGAGTGGTGTTGGGCATGCTCCCCCTGCTTCTTGGCCTTTCTAGTTCCTTAGAGTTGTTTCAAGCACCAGCCGAATTAAATTTCAAAATCTCCAAACCCCAGCCCAGAACTACCCGAAATCCCGGACACCCAGCATTTCCGTCGCCCAGGTGAAACCTGTGCTCTCAATGCCTTGCAGCTGCGCTCCGGACAACCTGAGGCCTTCCGTGCTTCAAGCTAGCGATGGTCTGTACGGTGTCGCAGATCTTCTGCAGAAGCGGAGTTGGCCAGTTGCCCGAGTTCCGAGTCAAAGGTCGATCGTTGTTTCAGCATCCACAGCTGAAGCTTAGTGACATCTCGTGAATCTACCCGAAACTGCCTGCATCTCATGGGGGGGCCTTGCTGTGGGGCCCTCCCGACGCTGCTCAGATTCTTGTCCTGACTCAGGGAATCGCTTCCGAGGACGCGGCATTGGTGCAGGACATTATGAGGTTTCGAGTCCACCTTCTAACCTTTCAGTTTGAGGGGAGGTTCGACAAAGCCCTTGCTCCGATGCTGAACCACCGCCCAAACACCGAAACGAAGTGTCAGCTTCCCCCTCCTCCCACCACCCACAGGAGGGCGACAATTCCTCGTGGGCGTCCTGTGCCGCTTACGGCTGCCATGGCTACAACCGCTACAGGCTGTTGGGTTTAGGGTCTCGGTAGAGGGTTTTAGGGTTGTAGAGTTTAAGGTTTAGAAGCCGGGCCCCGGCTGACACTTCAAGGTTAAACCGAGGGTTTAGGGTAGTCCCCTAGAGGCACCGCACAACCAGGATGCGCGGGAGTCCGCGTTTCGAGATTTTTGGTACCCAAAAATGCTGAAACGCGTGCTCCCGCACATTCCCGCCTCAGTTTCCCTCGGTCCTTAGGAACCACATACCCAGGATGCGGGGGAGTCCGCGTTTTGAGGTTTTTGGGACCCAAACATGCTGATACGTGTACTCCCCCGCGTTCCGGCCTCAGTTTCCCTCAGCCCCTAGGAACCGCACACCCCAAGTGACCGTGAAAGGATGAAGCTTCGAAGCACACCCTGTACATCCCCAAAAGCAGAACCGTTTCGGGCCCCATCTCGGGTGGGGCCGGGACTGAACCTCAGACTTGAACGAATCGGATCTTTAAGATGAGTATGGCCAGGCCGTGCCAGTGCAACAGCAAGTGCCTTGGCTCTTGGAACTTTGGAGTCGGTTTTAGGATCTCAACAGCCTCCGAGTTTTGCTCGGGCAATCCAGGTGTCAATGGTATCGCAACTGCTGCGGCGACTACTGGTCGAGGCTGGCAGGGCAAAGGGTCTGTGGCAGGAGCTGACAGCTGTATAATGTATTTGTATAGTTATAACCCCAAACGATAGGGGACAAGGGTCGATGGCAGGGAGTCAGAGGCGCCCGGCCCCCCCCCCCCCCAAGGCATGCCCTCATCAAGCTACTCTTTTAGAGGGGCCTCGGATGTGGGCGCACCCAAGTACAATAGGTCGGAATGTCGGGAAAGATGGTCGCGATAGGTTTCGACTGTACTGCGTAAGCTCGAAGCCATGAAGGTGCACGGCTCGGCACCCATCGCCACCGCCACCGCCTCCGCAAGTTCATCAGTCCGCGGCTGCCTGCTCGGCCGTCCCCAGCTGCGCCAGCCTGAGGCCTATACAGAAACGGCTGGTTGCGCTGGCTTCGAGTTTGAGCCTGAACATGTCTGAACTCTTGCAAAACCAGCCGAGCTGCTAACAGGTCACAAGTTAATCCAAGTCCTTCGAGGAAGCAGGTTTCTACTCTTGTCCCTAGGATGGTAGCCAGCAAAACGCCATCGTCAGAATACCGCCAGGCTGCATGGTGACTGCTGCCCCACGCCCAAAGGTGTGTTGGCTTCAATTCATATGTGATTCGACGGTACTTGCCCACGATGGCGACAGCATGTCCACTGAACAGAAGAGCCTGTAAGTTTGCCAAATGAGAGCTCCTCAACCCAGCAAAGAGAGGAAGAGCTGTCCTGAGTGTTCCCTGTGATTCGGTTCACATCATATCTTCTGCAGTGGCCAATTCCCGGTTCTTGGGTAGGGGTGCTAAGATGTGTTCTTATGTTTGGTTTGTCTTGTCAGTTGTCTTGCAGTTGCTGTAAAGCTCGAGCAGCTCGAGCATGCAGAAAAAGAAGTGAAGAACTAGACAAAGACGGATAAACCGAACAACAGAGCGGGCAACACTACATTAGGCGTCTGCGGCGAGTCCAATGTTTTCCAAGACTGCATTTTGCAGCGGAATACCAAACGCCGTAACGGATCGAACAAACTTAAGCAGGGATCGGGGAAGGGAAGAGATCAAGAAAGACAGGCCAAAGTAAATAAAGCAATGCACGAGTGACAGTTTTTACTTACATCTTACGCACAGAAATTCATTTTAAAGAGCCAAGCCGTCTATCAGCCTTGGGCTGTGAACCATGGCCAGACCGAACGGCTGAACTGCTAAGGCGCCTTTTTCATTCTTAAGATTCTTAACCCTGAGACCAGGGCCTGTAGCTGTTGGGCAGCAGGGGTTAGGGCGAAGGCTTCTCTCCCAATTTGGCCCAACTCAGCTGTAGCCCCATTTTGAATCTTTATGCCTCTTGTGCAGCAGGTGACTACCTTGGCTGCTGCCCTGACAGCATGGTCCCTCACGTCACCGCGCCACCGCCGACGATCGTGGCTGGCCGCAAGGCTGCCGCACTCTCGGTGTCTTGCTGTTATCTGCAAGCTTGGTTGCTGCTCAATGTCGGATTGCGCCGTGATATCATGGCATCTCATTGCGAAAGCAGGCTGGATTCACTGTTGTTTGCCCCCAGTTGCCCCACTTGTTCAGCCGGAAGAGCTCATGTAAAAGGAGCAGGTGAGGCGTCTGACCTCCTTCCACCTCCCCCTCCCCTTCCCCCTCCCCTTCTCTCCCCCTCCCCTTCCCCCCCTCTTCCCCCCGCCCCCTCCCCTGCCTTCCCCCCGGAACCAGCTCAGGGCAGATTCAAGTTCAAAGAGGTTTGGCGGTAAGGGCTGAATAGGTTTGTGGTTCGCGGAGTAGGGGAAGTAGGGGCTCTCCTCAAGCCCAGTTGCAAAGGGGACGTAGGATTGAGGGTTGCAGATGCACTGGCTTGGGTTGGACACCAGCTTGGCCGACCGCAGATCATGACGGTGTACCATCAGACCAGCCCGGAGATTTGCAAGCTGATCCTTGCGCCCCTCGGCTGGGCTTCCAAAGATCGAAGACATTTCGAGAAAAAAATAGGCTCATCTCATCAGCGTGAAGCATGTCATCAGCCTGAAGCACGCTTGAAGCTTGAAATAAGAAAGGAAAACGTAGCCCTGTAGCCTGAGGAATGGCTTCAAGCTCGGGCACAGCGGGTGGTGTGGGGGCGCGATCTACTTCGCCATGTCTCCCCAGGCCGACTTCAGGGGGATTTCGGGGTTCACGGCGAGTCTATGAAAAGGGAATTCATATGCCAAGGGCTGAAGCCCCATACAGCTTTGGTGTTAAGATTTGGTATTTTAAGCAAGCGTGGCCAAGGCAACAAAGACGAAGGCCATCACTCCTCACTCGGGTGCAGCTTGGCATGAGTTCCCGGGGAGGGGGCGAATTTGTTCGGCTGCTTGTTTTTGCTGACGACCCCTCTGTTTTTTGCATGGTTTCACGTTTTCGCGTTTGTTTCGGAGGTTCGGGGGAGGGGGGAGGGGGGGGGGGTAGTGTTCAGACAAGTACATGCCTTGCCAAAACCTCCCAACCCCATTCACTCAAACACAACATTTAAAAACAAACATGGTTTTTACCACGGTAAACGCTCAAAACGCAACATAGACTTGGCACGTTTTGGCCCAATGCGCGTTTTCACACACGCTTGGCCATGTTTCTAGTGCATGCCGTTTTGACGACTCCGCACGAACCAGTTGCCTACAGGCGCCGTTGACAAGTTTTTGGGTTTAGGGTTAAGGTTTTAGGGTTTGGTGGTTATGATATTGGGAAGCCAGCGTAAATGCCTCAAGTTTCTTGGGGGTATGGATTGCAAAACCTCGGCGTGTTGATGTTTCCGTGTGCGAGTGGTTACAGTGGTTCGGAGCGCATGTCCGAAAACCCCATTCTTATCCATGGGCTCGATGTTTTAAGACCAAATCCACTGTAAATAGCAGTATTTTCGTGCGTCGTCGATCTTTCG